AAATAATATCAAGGCATACATATATATGTATTATTTTCTGTCACTGAGCACAGAAAAGTATGATTGGATTCGAAATCCCTTCCTAAATGTTCCTTCTAATATTGGACTTCAGCTATGCGAAGAAGAATTAGCCACCATTTCTAGTGACTGATGGCTCATTTCGAATTCAAAATTCGACGGTATCCATTGATACATTTTGGATTTTAGTACAAAAGGAATATCCCACATTAACTAAAAAGCAGCAGACATTTTTTTTTGGGGGGGGGTGATTGGGATAAACTGGCTGACCAATTCTATTTAGTAGTAAGCTTGATTCTCACTAGGTTTTTCATATTTGTACCAAGCTAAAATAAACTTAGTAAATAACAACTCGAGCATTTTCGGCATAAATTGATTATAATAATTTACGAACCCATAGAGTGGAGAGTAGTTCTCAGTATTTATGGGTACTGGCACATCCTGTACAGTCTTTATTTTATCTGGGTCTGGCTGTCTCCCTTTAATGTCTATAATTATTGCCGCACCCTCATGAGTCCTGTAACCTAAGTTAGCTGAGGCACCCATAGCAGCAGTTGTGTGTCTAGGGTATTCACTCTTCAGCCTGGTCTTGAATTCAGAATTTTCCTTCTTCTTAAGAGAGTTCTGTCAGCCCAATTATTTAACACATAACCGGGGGAATGGATAATGGATTCTAACTTTTCCCAAGATAGATTTGTAAAAACAGATGGATTCATAACTTTCTCAAGTGAAAGTGAACGTAATGAACACAACCGGAAGTTCGCCGATTTCTCTTCTGCACTTCCGCTATAATTGTACCTTGATATTTAATATCAGCCATGGAAAATGGGCATTTTTCTAAATTTATGAATATTAAATTAAAACTTACATAATCGTGTAAATATTTCTTCTCGTTGTAACTTATACTCTTCGGTACAATAATTAGGTTATTCATTCATATAAACGACATCAAATGGAAAAATTTGCCAATAGTTATAATTTGTTGAAAAATTACCGGTTCACATTTAATGCTAAAAGGCACTGAATTTTATTGATGTAATCGTCGATGTGTATTCATTGATAGTAAGAATGTACACTTTTCTACAACTTCTGTGCTAAGATAAGCATTTGAAAGGTCAATTTAAAAAATACGAATATTCATTAACTGTCCCAATAGTAATTTTTGTAGTAAACTATGCAAATAAATATTTCTCTCGAGTGTAACCCAATTGTTTTTACCTTGTTCTGGTGTAAAGATCAAGGTTTTTAGTTTATAACACGCGGGGACATGTTCTATACGCGCTTCAAATGACTGTATAATATTGATTCCATAATTTATATAGTCTATTTATTAAAAGGCATATTCTTTGCTGTTAAAAATTTGCATTTTTTCTGTTCTATTTTTACTAGAATGGAGTTTTGTCACAGTGTTTTGTTGTTGTTGTTATTGCTTTTTTAAAAATATTTTATTCTGAAACGATTTCAATTTCAGTCAGGACACGCTTTATATTTATTAACCTCTGTCATTTCTTAGTGACTGAAGCAAAATGATTTTTAAATTCAATTTTGATGTCTCAAAACGAAAATAGGGAGATCGAATTGATCCACTTTGAATTTGAAACTTACATATTTCTCTGTTTATGACATCAGTGGGACTCATTACAAAGTAGCAAACAATAGTATTTTATGTATTTTCACCAAAAATTCTACTTAGGCTCAGTCAGTGGTTCTAAAAATATTGGTTATTATGAGACAAAAGAGACCCACCCACAACTACAATGCTATCGCTTAATTTTCCTAACGAGTAAATAAAAATGCCAAACACATATGGAAAATAGTACAGTTAAAATTATTGTGGAAAGTGCATATTTCTTAGTAATTACAGTGTACATGTTAGTGGCAGCAGTATAGGAAAGAAACGCTATTTCCAACACAATTATATATTCATATACATGCCATATTAAAACATACCCAAACTTATTTTCTACCCAATAACAGACAATATTTACAAACATGCCAACAGATTCTACAATACAACAGACACCGTTTAAAAAGTGTCTATTGGTTAGACATTAATATCAACATATAAAATATTTAACTAATGAAAGAAAACTAAAACCTTATTTTTCTCGAGCTTACTATCTCTTATAAAATCCCACAGAAAGCAGAGATGCGACTGTCTCCAAGCCGCTCAAATACGTGGCTACATAGCTTTTTCCTTAAGCAACACACACTGAAAGAAACATGTGTAGGCAACTTCAAACGAATCATCGCCAACAATAATACCAAATGCAAATACAGAATGTTATAATTCATTTTTTTTATTTTAAGCAATTGGTTGATTTGATATTTTTAAATAATTTACTGCACAATTTATGCATAACCACAGTTCAAAATCACAATAGTGCATTGCATGCACTCCACTATATTAATGGCAATCGTTTGTGTTCACGAGATGAATGTGTGAATCTGCGAATAACTGCTTCTACGTTCAATTCATTTTCAATGGATTGCAACATATATGATTCCAAATTCCCTCCAGCGTTTTATTCATTTTCTATAAAGTGCGTCATTTCATATGCAACAACCTAATATTTGGCACCTCTTTTTATTCTGTATGGATGTGTATGTATGTGTAGATTGGCGTGCGTGATTGCTTGCTTATGCGTGTACGTACGCTTATTTGCGTAAATGCCCGTGATTATTTGCGTGTGTGTGCGCTTAGCAACATTTGTCTCTGTATTTTAGTATTTTATTTAAATTAGGTCACAACAAATGTCAATGTTGTTTCGCTGAATTCTCGTCAAAGATACTGATCAGACAAACCAATTCACGGGTTATTCCACTTTTTATATGTGAGTGTGATTTCTTGCATTAAAGCTGTCGATCAGAATTATAAATGTAATCGACGTGGGGAAATTGTTAGCAAGCTTGTCTCGCTAGATAGTAGTGAGTTCGATCCTCACTGGGTGCTCAGTACTTTCGAGGTTGTGTCACATCAAAACTACGTTTAGTAAATCATTATAAAAGGATGTGTTTATGCATTTAGTGATGATAATAATTTGACGTTTATTATTTGAGTTCTGTTTGTAGCAATGTGGTATCGCCGTTGACAAAGACAGTACTATGTGTACTTTTGCTTATCAGCATTCTGAGAGTCATGGTGTCGTCGACACGTCATAAGGAATTCCATGAGAGAGGAAAGTTCACCGCATCCCAACTTTTAACTTAAAGTTAAGATCAGGATGGAAAGGAAGTGACTCTCCTCATCGGAATTTGGCGAGATGTGGGTGAGAGTTACGCATCTGTGTCAGGTAACTGATGCTAAGAGTGTCATTTTGATGCTGTTTAGGCATTTAGGAGATTGTTTTTTTCCGGATTAAACAATGGTAACCCATCCCTAAATAAGGTAGTCTAATAAGTTTTTCTCTTTTATGTGTCTTAAGTTAATTTAGCTAGGTCATGTATGCTCATCGGTCCCTATTATGTATTCTCATCGGTCCCTATTATGTATGCTCATCGGTCCCTATTATGTATTCTCATCGGTCCCTATTATGTATGCTCATCGGTCCCTATTATGTATTCTCATCGGTCCCTATTATGTATTCTCATCGGTCCCTATTATGTATGCTCATCGATCCCTATTATGTATGCTCATCGGTCCCTTTTAGTTTTATGCTTTTTTTTTCCTTAAGTTTAATCCCCCCACCTCGTTAGGTGGCAAACATCCCAGTTCTCAACCGCTCTCTCAGTGGGGCTTAACCAGTGGATGCGGTGTAGGAAATTCCGTTCTCCAGGTTTTTTTTTATATTAAGAATCCAAACGTCCGAGTTCCAAACAATAATAAAATAAAAATAAAGAAAACACGCTTTCATGCCTGTTAAATAAATCATTTGTATTTACAAACATATGGACATGAATTCAAAAGAGCTAAAAAAAAAAGTATTAAAAATAGTCTCTAGTTGTTAAAGCCTTTACAAATTTGTAGTTTAGAAAATATGTTAATTAAATAGTCCACAGAAAAAAAAACGCAGTTGAGAAAAGACTTTTATCGTTAGCGAATCTTCACTGACCATCTTTGTTGTTGTTGTTGTTGCTAGAGATGGTTGATTTGAAGTTGCTGACACGTTTCTCTCAGCACGCACTTCGTAAGGAAAAACCCATGTAGCCACGTCTTCTCTTGTGTTCGACAGTCACATCTCCTCTTTGAAAGTCAAAATTTGTGGGGTTTTATAGGAAATTTTTCCCGAAAGTAAGCTCGATAATTTTTTTAATTTTTTTCTGATTGGTCAAACATTTCACATGGTGATATCAATTTATGACCAAAAGACACTTTGATTTAAACGGTATGTGTCGTGTTGTGGAAGGTTTGGAGACATGTTTGTAATATTGTCTGTTATTGGATAAAAATTGTTTTTATCCAATAACAGCATGTTTTAAGATAGTATGTATGTGTTGAAAATAGGTTTTATTTTCGCATTTCCAGCGGATATTCGTAAATGTTTAGTGTCTGAGTGCGTGGTTGGTAAAGTGAATGTTTCTATATTTATTCTGTCCCTCATAATTTTTGTTTGAGGAACTGATATTTCTGCACCAACTTACGATTATGTTTTTTTTTTTTTTTTACTAACTAATACAGTTATATATATATATATATATATATATATATATATATATATATATATATTATTTTTCACATTGTAAATACACATTGGTGATAGTCATATTTTTATGCACCACTCTCAGACAAAAACTGTACATATGTGTACTAGTTAGGGCTTCATTGAGGAATTTTGCTGATTGCAGTAAGAAGAGTATGCGAGAATGTTGCGTTATGGTGAAATGAAACACTATCGCATGAGTGAATCAGTGATTGAGACTAGCTAAATTACACGTAGAACAAATGAAAACCAACCTCTCTCTTATCCCAATTCTCGGCCTTGTGCCATATTCATCAATAAATGCCACAATAATTTCACGTTGTATTTTTTGTTTTTTCATAGATGCGAACGACAAACGGATATTTCGAAATGGTACTCAGACATGATGAGTCGTGGTGCTTTTGATGGAGAACTTTCTACAGAACAGCTTGTAACAAAAAAACAAATTGAAAGTATTATTGAAGAAGGCTCTGTCAAACCGAGAATAGTTTCGCCGAAAACCTTAGAAAAGTACGAAGCTATTTTTCAAACGAATGATTTGAAGGATGAAACGGAAATGGATGAAGAAGAGCCCGAGGAAAATGATTCGAACATTTTATCATCGTATGAATTCGAAAAACAGAAGACTTCAGAAATGCAGGAAAGTATGGAAAAAAGGGACCATAATGGTTTGAATGAAGCAAAAAATCAAAGAAAAGAACTTCCAGTTCATCCAATTTTAACTTCAACCAAACCAAAAAATTATGAAAACGTCGCAGACTTGAAAGAAAGCAAGAATCAGAATGTAACAAAGATGAGTGCATGGAAAGATTATCTGAAAAAATGTTATTTCAACAACAGTAGTAGTTATTTAGATGTATTTTATAAGTATGGCAGCCATATTCAAAATAAGATGCTTCATTTTAGTGCCGAATTACCCAGAAATTTAACTTTTAAAAAACTGAAAAAGAAAAAATCTAGAAAAAGAATAAATTCAAGAACTCAAGAAGCATGTACAATAAAAACTGCATGTTGCTTAAGACACTGGCTTTCTTTTGAATTAAAAATGTGTATTCCACGATTTAATTGGTTGGCTGTAAACGTGACACGTAATGGAGTCCAATACGAAGAGTACTTACCTTTTCCTAACAAAAGGGATTTTAAAAAGCAAATCTTAGAAGAAGGTAGTGTAAGACAGTCAGACATTGTTGAAAGTAACTTGGGACAAGCAAAAGACAGTGTGTCGGATAAATTGAGAAATAAAGATGAACTACAAGAAATAAGGGACATGAAGACGTCAAAATTTGAAAAGGATATGAGTCAAATAGAGTCAGAGGATAAAAAAGAAAACAAAACAAAATCAAGTCAAGATTATAATAAGAAAGATCCGTTATCAATCAAAGACGAAATAAAAATTGATCTGGAAAGCGAAAAGTGGTTAAGCCCCACTGAGAGAGCGGTTGAGAAATTACTGAAACTGAGGAAAGCAAATTCAGAGAAAGATTTAAGTGTAGACAGAGTTACAAAAATCATCGATGAAAAATCAAAAGAACAGTTATTAAAGATCCAAACATTGGAATTATCGATCAGTAAGCTTGAGAACCGTCTTTTGAGAGAGCAGTTAAGTAAAACGAATGACTCATCATCGATCACTCGGCTCGAAAATCATATTTTACGCCTTGAGAACGAATTGATAAAAATTAACCAGACTTACATGGAACTTCGACATGAAAACGAACAACTAAAAAAAAGTCAACGTCGATATTTGGAACTCAGCCATGGCTCTGGGCAAAACCAAAGCAAAGTGTCAACTGGGGCGGATTCAGAAAACTATACATTGATAATTGGGCAACATAAGATGAAGCTGACAGAACTCACATACCAGTTGAGAAACCAGTCTGAACTAGTCGCAAAATATAAGAAGCAATTAGAACAAGTCGAAGACCAGAACCGGATGTTGTATCAGATTGTAATGAATCAATCACTTCTGATTTCCCAAGTCATGAAAAAGATCCAAATTCTTAGCGATCAAATACAAGAAAATAACCAAAGGAAACATGACTATGGTATGATAACTCCTACTGAACTTATAAAACACTTGGAAAATATGGTAGCCGGAAATCGAAAAGCTCGACGAAGACAAAAACGTGTTTCATCCCTCCAGAAACATAACTCAAGGCAATGCTTAAAGTATCATGTTTATAAGATGTATATGTCAAAGACTTGTTCAAAATTTGACGTCGCTGACAAGCACAAGGTTCAGATATTGTCAAAAAACCATGGACAGATGAAAGGAGATTTGCCTAAAACAGCAACAATTAAGATTTCGGATCCTGTAAAAACCAAAAGTGAAAACTTATTAAATAAAGAAAAACAAGAAAGAGATAAAGAAAAAGACAAACAGCTTAATGAAACGCAAACGAAAAAAACTGTAAGACATCAATCAAAGACAGAGGAGATGGAAACCAAAGTCAGGAATTCTTTACAAAATCAGCAGGAATTGAAAGTAGAAACAGGCAAATCCCAGACAGAGAAATTAAGACAGGCTGACAATTTGACTCAAGGAGAAAATCTTCCTGGTTCTAATAAAGTAGAAAAAGCAGCAGAAAAAAGTAAAGAGAACATTGCCTCTAAGAAGCCCTTGTACGAGGACCCAGAAAATAAAGACCCCAAAGGTGAGATTTCATTCAAATTTTTAAATTTTTTTAAAGATTATCACTTGTTGTGTTTATAGAATTTTAAGCTAGTGTGTTAGTATATTGTAGGTGCGTGTGTTTTCGCATCTAAACAATTAATGAAGAAACATACAAAATCTTGGGTTCTGCTACGCACCGTTTCTTCATTTTTATAATGGAAACTATAGAGAAACAAAGTTCTAATGTCTTTTGAATATGTCCGTTTTCTTTTTTGGTCCAGAAGTAAGTTAGAGTAAGGAAGGACAGAAATGGTTATTATTGTAACCTAGGGAAGGTTACTGAATAGAATAATCAAACGAAGAATAAGAACAACACATATAAGATTCGCCAGCGTCGCGTAGAAGTAGTCAACTGCTAAAAGTGAGTCAAGTGAATTCCACAATGAATCTCCAACTTCAGGATACCTACCAACCGCCCCACGCGGTCAGATGTGGAACAAGGCCGAATTTAATGTGGGGTATCCGAGCCCATAAGCTCGGCCAAAAATTCCCCGTATAAGACGGGGTCAGGTAGCTGTTTCCCGAGACGAGACTCTGCCCTTCAACATAGCCTCGTCTAGGGATCCTCTGTGCCTTCGGGCAGAGAGTTTAACCAGCACAGCTGAAGCCAATCTCCAACTGAAGACCAACATACAGTATTTACTATTGTATTTATGCGAATGCGGACATACCCATTATCATCCGTAAGTATGCTACAACAATTGTAATGGTCGATCTCAAGTCAGCCTTGCGACCAAAGTAAAACTTGTATTACTTCATCGGTGGAAAGAGAGTTCAGTCTTCGGTAGACCGAGGAAAAAAGACGTTCCCTTGCAGGGGCATCTTCATCCACGTACTGCTGTATCTTGTAACAAGGGGTAGAAAGTGGAAGAGGAAAGAAATGCTAGTCTTTTTATAGAACTTAAACAGCGCCACCAAACGGTGCCAAGTGAGGTAATAAAATTCCCGGTTCATAATACTAGCATCATAGGAAAATGTATTTTTCTTTCTTTTTTTTATTCATTGTTATTATTATTTTATTTATTGATTTTAATTCATATTTTTACATGTTCGTTTTACTTTTACTAAATCGAAATTGCAGAGATGTTCTCAAATTTCTTAGTAGCTAGAAGTCCAAAACATTTTTATTATTTTTAGATTAAAGATTATTATTAGGGCAAGTTTAACACTTGTACCCGGAAAAAAAACAGTGTGTCAAAAAGACGGTTATTCCGTTGACACCGTTTTTACTGTATACACTGTTGACTCCCTCGGCCATGTTTGTTTTAAAAAGCGATTATTAGAATTTTGATAAAAAAAAATGCCAAGCATATGAAAGTGGATTTATATATTTTATTTATTCAGGCAAATTCATTACAAAGATATTAAATACTATTTATTTATTTATTAGATTGCTTATTTACAAGAATAATATTATATTTACAAGAATATAAAAAAAACATGTGAACCAACTCTAATGAAATCTTTATTATTTACTATTTTATAAGGAAATAAATATGAAAAGATATTTTTTATCCATAAATTATGAAAATGTTTGCGAACAAGAAAAAATAAATAAACACGTATAACGGGTAAATTTAATTATAAATTTTGAAAAAATGCATCTCTTCTGTGACGAGTTCAAAGGATTCCGATCGGCTGACTGTCGAAGATGAAAGACGTTTCATGTTTTATTGCTAACTATGGTCACGTGGTAGGCTCAGAGAAACTTGATAGATTTTGGTGGAATTATCTTTTTAGTAAGGTCAAAAACTAGGTCGATGTTATTAAATATCAAGTGACCAATTAGAAGTTAAGATTTTCTAAAAATATTTATTAAGCTGAATAAGCTCTGTGATCCACTTTTTGTACGAAAATTGATGTTGATAAAAAAAAAAGGGTAGTAGTGGGATGTTAAACTTCCTCTGAATTAAACATTCTTTTGATTTATTTTCGTCATATGTTTATTCAAATTTTCTTGTTCTATAGTTATAAAATGATTAATAAATATTACATTGGTGTTGGTTTAGTTATTTTGATAGTTTTATAATTTTTTTATAAACTTTTGAATAAAAAGATTTCTTTTAAATTGTATTTCTTTATAAATAAATAATAAATATTGGATCATTCTTGGTTCACATATTTTTATAATCCTGTAAATAAACATCGCCGAGGGAGTTAAAAGTGTATACAGTAATCGCGGTGTCAAGAGAATAACCGTCCTTAAATATTTTTTACGAGCATGAAGGTTAAACATTACCATTATTTGAATAGATGTTTCGGCCCGGTGAGATGTTTATACCTCAGCTCCTACTCGCCTCTTAGTAATAACATTATTATTATTATTATTTTGATTATAATTTTTTTCAATCTTAGTTTTTGAATTGCTTTTTATCGTAAATTTCTCAAACCATTAATCTGCTGCGATCAAACAACGAACAGTTATTTCAGACTAGCAGTAGAGCCCGGCGTTGCCCGGGGATGTAACAGTAAGAGATAGATCAAGTATCGACCATCATAAAAACTGAAAAGTAAAATTGACAAAGATTATTGTTTAATGCTGGCGGACACGCATGTCTTAATTAGGCTTCTTTTTTTTTTTTTTTTTTACGAATTGGTCAAACCCAAACTCAAACAAAAACATTGTTTTCAATCGTTATGAGTCTATCGAGGGTTTACGCTGCTCGATCACACACTGATCACCCCTTAGACCCCACTTAAGTCTTAGGGGCATACAATCATCAATCAAGGAGTTCGCTCCGGGCATCACCAAATCTCTGTACGTCACTTCCTCGACATAAATTTACTGTAAATGATCTAGTGATATATTGTTCTGCCTACAATTGAAAGTCTACAATTGAAAAGAATTTATCTAAGCTTAACATAATATTTATTGCAACTACTTCTAAAACAATGAAAGACTTAATTAATACAAAACAAAATCATGATCTCAAACTTGAAGGAGGAATTTATTCTATTATCTGTAATAATTGCCACAAGGAATACACAGGAGAAACCTCGAGGAATTTAAAGTAAAGATGAACACAAAAGGGATCTTTTACAAAACAATGCAGTCAATGCATTAGTTGCGCACCGTAATAAAATTTTTTAAAAATACTACTTTAACAGAAAACAATTTACTAAGGCGAAAATGTATAGAAAGTGCTTTAATTACTAGATCACACACACTATATTTAAGTCAAGGTTCTTACAACATTTCACGTTTTTTGGCAGATCTTTTATTATCACCATATGGGACATTTAATAACAAGTGATAAAAATATAAAGCAGAAAACTAAATAAATCAGATAGACTATAATACCTATAAATAGCATAATACCCATAATACTATAATACCCAAAACAAATATTTAAAAAAAGAAAATGTTATATTTAAATTTAAAATTTCAGCATGCCCTCCCATTCCTGCGTATAAGTAATCACATCAACGCAAACATCCGTTTAAATCTGATGAAGTCCTTAAGGACGAAATGCATCACGCAAAAAAAAAAACTATTTCAACATTGTCATAGATTTTTTTAAAATTGTTCTTGATATTTAAAAATTGATATTGTTTTCCCAAACCTTTTTATGTATACATTATTTACATTATTCGGACTATTGTCCTCATCCTTGTCGCTAATATTTCGGCCGTTGTACGCTCCGGCCTTCTTCAGGTGGTTGACAGGGGTAGACAGTTCTAGTTCCACGTGCCATGTTTGATGGATGTCAGTTATCTCCTGCTAAGAAATATAGACAGACTTTTTATGTATATTTTCTCAAAACGTAACTACTGTTATTAACATCGATTTTCTTCCATGAGAGATACTTTAAAACGTATCAGGACTAAGAAGAGACTATTTCAGATTCTAACCGGTCTGAAAAATATTTTTATACTAGTTTTAACCTGTGAATGTTTCATGGTTTTTCTTTGAAATGAATAAGCTCATGGCGTTTTCTACGACAATAAAATATCCGTAGAAATTTTCCTAATTCACCTTAACAACTTGAACAAAATATTACAATACCATTCATATGAATTAAATTTGAATTTTAAGTACAGAGGTACAAATGAAAAGATTTTAAATTCACAACTTTTTCCATTTCACTGAAACAGACGTTAATCATTTCAATCTTCCTTTTTTCTTTCATTTTCTCACTGAAACCAAATAGCATTTTTAATGTCTTTTGTCTTCTCACGTAGTCCATTATTTATGAGGTATTAGCAGGAGACGTTAAACACTTCTTTCTTTCTTTTCATTGAAACCAAGTACTGTCTCTGATATGTCTTGTCCTTCCACTCGATCAAAACGGAATGATACATTATTTATGAGGTATTGACAGGACGTAACGGTGGCGTGAACTAACGGAGGGGACAAGCACAATAGGATTGTTCACAATTCCTTATTTCAATGATGGTTCGTAAATTGCTTAATAAATAAAATGCATTTTTTAACTAATCAACTCTTTTTATCACATCGATGCATTAAGTGGGACTAACATAATGTTAGCATTTATTTTTTGCTCTGTAATTATTTCTGCTATTACCATGAGAGTTACTGGTACCATGTAATCCAATAATACCTACCGCATGGTTGGGCTATCGGCAACTAAACCAGTTCCTCCAACCAGGCTTTTCTTATAAGAAGGGTGGTTAGACACCCAGCAGGATTAAAAACATGACTTGTCAAAGGGTATGAGGCAATTGGTAGTGTATGTCATCATTGCTGCAACTTTGATGGGGAAGGGGGATTACTACTCTTATGAATGTAGGGGTTTGGTTGTAGTAGTAAAAGTAAAAGCGTACCAAGTGATTGTAACTTTAAATATTTAGCTCCGAATTGTAGCAAAAGAATCTTCCAGGTTGATGCTGAAAATGAATCGCGAGGAAAAACATGAAACAGAAAACAACAGAATATTGAATTGAGACGTTATTCTTTTTATGTAACATGATTTTTTTTGCAACAGGCCGACGCATGTTGAAATCCTCGCAGTATTTAGTATTGTTGAAGTTATCGCTAACATTTCTTGTCGATTTTAATTTTTCAAAAATAACGAAAATTTATTGTACTAAGCTACGCACTCTAGTAAAACCAACTATGCTTTGTAGTTTGTATCCACTTAACTATTTGTACTTCACCCCAAAATTTGGTTTCGACTGGTCAATGTATGACTATTTTAGAAGGTGTGATGGACGGACAGACGAAGCTACAGAATTTTATATATAGATAGATTATATGTTGGTAATAAATTTACACGTGTTTTGTTTGGCATGTGTTAAATTGTGATATGTGACATATTACATAAATGTTTTCACAGTATATGATCATTGGTTTGTATTATATGACGTGTTCGACGGAGGAGGGGCGTATTGAAAATTTGATAATTTTGCGGCAATATGCGCTTAAAGGCAGTTTTGATCAACATTTCTTTTCATGGTTAGCCATAAGGAATTGTAAATGTAGGACTGCCTTACATTTAAGTAAAATAGTAACAATAATAATATTTATTAAGAATTTATTACATGAAATATCAAGTTCTTACGGAAACATTGTTGATAATTTAGTTACATAACAAATAAATAAATAAAAAATAATATAAATCTTGATGCTATATTCGATTTGTTGTTAGTTATTTTTCATTTTTTCCTTTGTTATTGGCAACATTTTAGAATACTTTGGCTGCAATGCTAAATTTCCTTAGTTGAACAGACTGGAGCTATTTCGTTTACGCTTTGTTATCTCACTTTTCCATTGAAATTTTGAAATTTAGAATGATCTTATTCTATTTCCAAAATAAATCCTGTAAAAAAGGAATATTTTAAATTAATATAAGACCAAAAATAAAATGCTTTTGACAACAACAAAAAAAAACTTAATGATTTCACTATAATTAAGTAACAATAATGTATTGTAATGATATTCCACAGACAAATCTACGGTTTATATCCTCAGTTCTCTCATCTCATTGCATGGTTACGAACTATAAACTGAAATTGAGTTTAAAATATTGTGTAATCGGCTCTAATTTTTTGTAAAATACTTGGATAATGAATAATTTGCAGTGAAAAAAGCAATTTTCGATTTTTTGTTGAATACGCCATCCGCCGAATTGTTTTGTTTGTTTTGATACATTCAAATAAGTTAAACGAGTTAACTTATTTGAATGTATCAGTCCCGAATTCTTTTGAGGCTAAAACTTCTTAACAGGTAATGAGATTTGGTGATAGGTTTTTCTTGATTTTGTAATAGTCAAACTTTTACATCTGTTGTATCGGAAATCAAAAGTCCTACTGCATTTTCTAGTGACTAACTGAAGAAGACTAATTCTCTATCACACGAATTTTGGTGGTAAAAGAAAGGACTGTAATTAAATAGCATCACTTAAAGACCACTGCATGTGAATTCGCCTTCTTATAAAGTCAATGATCATCTAGCACAATAGGGTAAACTGGGTTCCGTAACTGGGTATACAGCCAGTGTAGTCAGAGGGCTTCCTAGACTGAAGTCAACAGTTAAGGCAGAGGGTTCCTCCAATGGAATCGATGTCTAGATGTCGATGATCAAGCTGAGCCAATTTGGTGGTCATCGGGTGTGATTTGATCATGAGAGGGATGAGTTTCGCCAGACTTAACTACCTAAGATATGCTATGCGGCTTTCATCCTAAATATGTGGAGGGAACTGGTCAGGTACTCAGATGCGCAATGGCACTACGACCTCACCTAGTCATAGAGAACTGATGCTGCTGCTGTTGTTGATGATGATAAGGAACAGACAAATGCTATTTTAGAAAAGAATTCACCGAGTAACCTGCATTTGCTTTTTTTTGTGATTGGCTAACAGGTTTATTTAAGTCGCTCTTGCCATTGTGTTTCTGACTAGCAATCGTTAGTCATTCAATTTTTAAATATATGTGATTGCATTTTGTTTATTTTATTTATGTATTTTTTGGTGTAGATTGCTATGAACTTTATCAGAAAAGCAATAGCAGAAATGGCGCATACAAGATTAAACCTGCTGGTTTCAAAAAATTTATTGAAGTCTTCTGTGATATGAAATGTGGTGGCTGGACTGTTATACAACGGCGTCAAGGAGGAACAACAAATTTCTTCCGTGATTGGAACATGTACAAGAAAGGATTTGGAGGTGGGTATTATTGAGTAATTATTGTAATCATTTCAAAATGATTTTAATATTTCATAAAATTATCCATTGTATAAAAAATTGTTTTTGGCTCGTTTTCATATTTCTTTTAAGAGATTTGCATACAATGGTAAACATAAATTTCTCTTTCTTTCTCTTTTTTTTTCTCTTGTCGGAGTTAGCTCCTCCTCAGTTCCTTAATCCTTCACCAGGGGTCTCTCTCCCGTGGCTATAAATACTGGGAAACATACACGGGATATAAAATTAGCGTAGGTACTGCAGGCCCTGGCTACGCCATTGACTAAAATATGTATGCATTTAACTCCACGAAATCGCTAAAAAAAAAAGAGCATAGTCTGATGAAAAAGACGCCAAACTTTATGAAAACAAAATTTTATCGTCTAAATGTTTATGTTATTATGAAGAGGAAAGACCAAAGTTTTTTTTAATTATTTTGAAAAAATTTTCCTTCTTTTTAGAACCTTCTTAAATTTTGATTAAAAAAACCTTGTTTCTCTTTGTACCAACCGGAACTAGTAAAATAACAGACAATTTTTAGCACGTTTTTTTTTTTTGTATTACACACATTAATTTGGAAAATCTTGCAAAAATAAAAATAATTGACGGATGTTAATGAAACTTTCAGAAACTATTCGCAGATGATCGAAATTATAATAAATATGTTTTTTTTTTTTTTTATTAAAGTCATGGCAGAAATATTTTTTTATATTTATTAACACACCCATAACTAATTTTATGAAAAACTCTAGAAATTCGATCACATCGGGTTCAGTGATTACAAGAGTTAAAAGCACAAGGCTTTGAAGAATGCAAATCATGTTTTTTTTTTAATTGGATCCGCAGTACCTTGAAATCAGCTCTGAATTGTAACATACAAAACTCAATAAAACAAAGATATTATTTAATTTCAAATGCTTTTATTCGTTTTTAGTTTTTTTTATGAATATGGACAATATTTTCTGAAAGCAAAAAAATTTTTCAATGAAAATTGAATTTTTAATACAATTATTTGTTATTTCTTTAATTATAATAGATTTTTACATTAAGTTGTTAAAAAATATTATAAAATTAGTTAAAAGCCACATCGGTTTTTCTAAGTGTCCTTATGAGATAGATCATTTTTTAGCCCTTTGAAAATTGTATCATTTTGACTAATCAGAAGATCCGCAGTAATTAAGAAATGTAATTTTGTGTTTATAATAAATTTTGTGTTTACAATAAAGTACGGAAGACCAACCAGAATACAATTAAGTTGCGTTATTTGAGTTCAGCATTGTTCTCCGCTGTTAAGGCCTTTACTTTTGCGAAACAGGTATGGAGAAGTTAATTTGATTTTTCAATTCCAACTGAGAAGAGTACCTACAAGTATCAGTATCATCGTATGAAATTTAACTACTGCTGCTAAACTTTAATTTATGATCTTATTTTTATAATAATCTCAGTTATGATATTTTTCCATGAATGAAATATCAAAATTAATTATAAAATGAATGGAAATACAAATAACACAGTAAAATGTAATAAATGTACATAAAATTATAGTATTTTATGTACACTTCTGATAAAATTTCATAAGAAAGGTACCTATAAATTAATTAGATACCTTTCTTATGAAATTTAATCTCACTCTTCTTAACAGTCTTATTTTTTAATTTCTTTATAATATATTTTCCATAAAGCATCGTAAACGTAAAGATGAAAGCTAAGTACAAAAAAAAAAAAAAATTAAAAAAATAGAGCGCTGAAAGTTTTCCTCAAAAGTAACGAGGTAAATAATTTGTTCACTTAAATCTAAATAATTTCACTTCCTTCAATCCGTAGAAAGAATTATCCTCCCGTAAGTTATCTAAATGTTATGAAAATGTCTTTCGTTACCTGTCAGTGTCAAGTGACGCGAAAGGTTATGACCTGCTTTGTTTTATTTTCAAATTACATTTTTTCGGCGCAGAAACTAAGTTAAGCTTGGTTCAAAATATTTTAAATAAACATTATAATTTCTGGTTCTATTAAAATAAGTTTTGAAAAAATGATACTTGATTTCTAAAAGAATGTCAAAGTGAGATTTTCATATTTTTTATAAAATGGAAAAAAATGATTGAAAATGATGGATTATCTGTCCTTTTTTTTGACAAAAAAAGATTTTTAGCGAAAATTTCGCACGTGCTAGGAACGATTAAAAAATGTAAAAAAATACCCCCAAAATACTTTGATCTTTCCTCTTTATGAACATTAGACGATAAAATTTTGTTTTCGTCAAGTTTGGTGTCTTTTTCATCATGCTATGCTTTTTTTGTTTACATTTCGTGGAGGTGTTGTCAAAATGTACAGCTGGATTTAAAATAAACATGATTTAGAATGAATTGGTGTTTTACTTAACTGTATCCAATAATACTGCATTATCATAAAATACAAACATAGCGAATATGCATCTTTTCCATTGTTTACGTTTAAGATGTTTTTTTAGCTGTTTCTCGTTCGGTTGTTTATGGCTGTACGTTTCGTTTACGCATCGAGTATAGCGTTACTAACAATACTTTTATCATTCTCTTTTACTTTTTAAACTTAAAGCCATCTATTTGGAAAAAGAGATAGAGTTAAAAAGGCACCTTCATGAAAATCGATAGCATGACAAGAACGGCCTGAAAATTAATGAAAAACTTTTTCTTCGTGTTAAATGTATATTTCATTATTGAGAAGAAACACTAAAGTATTTTTTGAATATTTTTTGAAATTTTTTACTCATTCTTAGCATGTCCGAAATTTTAGTTAAATATCTTGTTTACGAAATAACGAAAAAAAACTCGAAGCATAAGCCATTTTTTTTTAAATTTTGAAAAATAAGTTAAATTCTTCGTTTTAAAATTCGTTTAAAAATTAATTATACGTATTTCAAAATTTATTCGAAGAAATTTAGAAAATTTGAAGTTTATTTAAAATATTTTGAAAGAAACTTTTACTTACTTTCTTCGTAGAAAAATGTTTTTTAAGATAAAAGAGAGCCGATCTCAACATCGCCGCAATTGACAAGTGCTGAGTGATGACGTCTATAAATTATTGACAGCTGACGTGAGATTCGAGTTCCCATACGGAAAGACAGAATGGACATATTATTTTTTTTTAAGCGGACCTGCTTAAGTAGTACCTTGTAATAATTAAAGTAAAAAAAAAACTTTCGCTATTCCAATTTTTTTTTTGTTTGTTTTTTAAGTACTGTACCATAAGTTTGATGATACTATCTGGAGATATTATAAATACTATAAAAAATTTTAATCAAAATTTAAAATGTTCTAAAAAGAAGGAAAAATTTTAAAAAATAATTAAAAAATACTTTGATCTTTCCTCTCAATAATAACATAAGCATTTAGACGCTAAAATTTTGTTTTCATTAACTTTGGCGTCTTTTTCATCATGCTATGCTCTGTTTTTAGTGATCTCATGAAAGTACCTATATATATATATATATATATATATATAAACAAAAAAGCATGCATGTGTTGACGCCATCCCCTTTGAAAGTTTTCAGCCAAATTCTGTATGACGAGCAGTATTGTATTAAAAACGTGTTGAAATTTTTGTAGAAAGTTTTGTTGTATCTGCAGCATATTCAAATCACAGCAGAAGGTATGTGCTTGTGATGGCTGTGTTCAAATCACGTCGGGGACTACGAATTACAACGCCATTCACTAGATAACATATGCAGAAAAAATGAATTTAACATGTCCATGTTTTTTTTTCCCTATATATATTTATATACAGAACAACAAAACTCGGAGAAGAAAAGATGTGATTAGCTGTAGCATGTGTATGTGATGTGCTGCATGATGCTAAGGGTAAAAAGTTGGTCTGCTTGGAGACTGTTTCCTTATAGGGAAAACAAAACACATCTTGTCACTGCAGTTGAGGAAGAGAAAAAAAAATTATGTCCTTTACTTTTACCAGCATTATATAACGCCACCTAATTAGTGTTAAGAGAATTCCCCTGGCAGAACAGGTGGGATAATAATCCCATACACCATTTCCAGATTTCTAAAACTTTGTCATATACCTTGATATTAAGCATAAAAAACAAATTAGAATTAGATTTACAGATGTTAAAATAGACAAATTTAACATTAAAATGTGTAAATAACAAAATGCTGAAATCTATCAGATGTCGAATGTAAAATGTGACTTTGAAATCTGAATTCTGAACGTGCTTTGAAATAGTGGAAGATGTCTTCCAAAAAAGCTAAATATAATATTAAAATCTGTCTATATTTCTTAGATAAGTCATTGTAATTATTTACATTATCTACATTGTTCGGACTCACCTTTATTGCCATACACATCCATGTTTCAGCCGTTGTACACTCTGACCTTCTTCAGGTGATTAGAATTTCAAACTGAACCCTTTATTTTGACCACTGGGATAGATTGTTCTAGTTCCAAATAAGACTCCCATAGAGGAGAACATGACTAAAGACTGTATGTACACCATCCCATGCAGCTGTGATAAGAAATATAAAGGAGAGACAGGTTGCCCCCTTAAGTTAAGACTGCAAGAATATCGTAAAGCCTTAACATGAGGAGAAATAGAAAAATCAGGCATAGCTGGCCACATATGGAGGAAAAAGAAAGATCACCACTTCTTGTAGGTTGAAATAATAGACAGAAAATATCACTGGAAAATATGAAAACTTAAAGAATCAGCACATATGTTAGGTCACAAAAATCTCCTAAGCCGGCCAAGCATAGAAATTAATACAATATGGGAACCAGTAATACTGAGTATTAAAGAAAAGCAATAATAACAACAAAATTGCAATATGAGCTCTGGTAAAAAAATGTTTCTGAGACATTAAGTTTATATGTCCCAAAAATTCATAAACTGATGTCCTCAAGGACACATGGCTCAGTGGATAATAATGTTGGTTAAGTCCAGTGACTTGATCCAAAGATTTGTGAATTCAATACCTGGCAAAAACTTGGAAAGTTAAACTGAGACATCCGGAAGAAGCATGTGGAACTAGATGTGGACGAAATAAAGCATTCAGCTGAAAATTCCAATCATCGGAGCATATAACATCTGAAACGTCAAACAATGTAAATAAGCTATTAAAGGTATGAAAAATTTAATCTTTCTATATGGCAGTGAATGCTGAGAAATGAAAAGAAGATATGAGGTAGCAGGGATGCAGTTCTACAAAAGAATGCAGATAATACCATGGACAGAGCATGTGTGCAACAAGGAAGTTTTAAGTAAAATAGAAACAAAAAGGATACTTAGAAGTAGAAAGGGACTCATAATAAAAATTAGAAACTTTGTCACTCATAGGACATATTGAAGAGGAAAATAGTGAGTAACCTACTGTAATGATGCAATTCTGCATGTCCAAGGTCAGCTCTCTGCAAATACACTGTGCTCTCACTATGCTCCACAGTCTTATTTCAATATTAGATGTCAACAACAAATGCTTTTCAAGACACTGGTTGGGAAGTAGCAAAAAATATGATTTCTCACTTAATCTGCAATGTCTTCCTTTGGCTTTGAGAAAGCAAATTTCCAGTAACTAACTTCTACCCACGACAAAAACATCCCTACACACTCACTGCATGATCATCTCACTGACTGCTGGCCATTTCACTGACTGCCAGTCCTTTCACTGACTACTCATTATATGAATATTGGCTGGGGGACCCACTACCCTTTTCTGTCCAATTTATATTCCAACAACCAGAAAGAGTGACCTTTTGGGTGGTCAGTTTCTTCAAAGGACCCTACTTTTATGGCTATCTAAAATCATGAACAAAATTTTATGTTTGTGGGCTGGAGACAAGATTCCTGAGAAACTCTGGTTATTAAATGATTTAAAGGTAAAAAGAATCTATCTCTTCATCTTTTAAGGATATGTGAGAAATCATATTGCTACACTACCTAAAGAGCCTGTGTTAATCAATGGCAGAACAGAGAGAGTGAGGGATAGTAAAAAGACAAACATTCCTAAGAGCTACCAAGGATAGGAAGTTGTGGAGAGCCATAGTGACAATGTTTTAACAACACATAACATATATTGTTGCTTCAAGTTTCTTCTTAATCTCTAAAGAGATTGTCCAGCATTCACTAGCACATAGGAGGAACTCATTACATAACAGATTAATACTATTTTCTTTGTTTCTAACAAAAATTTTCTATTAATGAATACTTAGATTTGTAAGGCATCTTTTTCTATTCCAATGCAAATTTAGATTTCAGTGTTGCACTTTCCATCCTCTGTTAAAAGACTTCCAAGATACTTCAATTTTTGAACTTCTTTGATTTTGGTATCTCCAATTTGTAATTTGCATTTTGGGCTGTTTGTTTTGCTAACCATAAATTTTATCTTCTAATGTTTAGTCCTTTCTTCTTGCTTTCCTTCATTTCTGCATGCATTCTTGTAGTTTCATTTCAGTGTTTGCTATCAACACTGCATCATCTGTAAATCTTATGTTGTTAAGATTGTAGCCTCCAATAATGATTCCTGGTAGGACTTCTAATTCTTTCAGAATCACTTCACTGTATATATCAGAAATAAAACAAAAAAAAAAGGTTTAAAGGGTATCCTCTTCTTCTTGCCGCCTCTTATACATCACTTGGATTGAGAACCACTTGCATAAATCTTTATATCTTATAAGAGAAAACAAAAGGCAAATGAGAATTGTAAAAGAGAAAACTTCTGATTAAAATAGCCAAAAATACCATTCTAATCAAGTAGACTTTAGGCTTATGGCTATATCATACTGTTAAAACAAAAGTTCTCATACAATCTCCAAAAGTTAAGCAATATCAAGCTTGATCAGTACCGAGATAGGCAATCGCTTGGGAATACAAAGTGTTGTAAGCCTGGGTGTGGAAGTAGTCTAATGAATAACAGTTTGAAATATGAAATCAGAGAGCTGTGTTCTAATTCCAGTTAGGTTTGTTATATTCACTTACATGAAAACATCCTTGGGAAAAAGGTATAAATCCACCTCTTCTCCCCACTGCTCTGGGTTAATTAGTAGAACTTACAACATTAAATGATTATTATCTCCAAAATATTTGCAATCTAAAAATATTTTCTGGATTTAAATAACCTGCAAAACATTGGTAGGCCGTAAAAGACTTTAAAACTAAACAAAAGTAATAAAAAACAGAAATATTTTGTTAGAAGAAAAAAGTTCTGAACTGCTATTTAATATCTATCCTCATTTTTTACCTGGGAATTTCGGATCATTTCCATAGATGAAACGGTAACTTGAGGCAACAGAGATGTGGTTCTACATGCTGAGAATACCATGGATGGAACATGTGAGCAACAAGGATGTTTTAAGGAAAATAGGAAGTAAAAGGACATCACATGTACTTGGAATCAGAAAGAATCAGTTGACATTTCTGAACTACATGAGGAAAGAAGGCTTAGCAAAATTGACACTAACAGGATATATTGAAGGCAAGAGTGGCAGAGGAAAACAATGAGTAATCTGTTGTGAGGGAGAATATTTCCCTACAAGTTTGGACTCAGTCGTCGGACAAAAGACATAAAAATACTCCTACATCAAGAGGAGTAGCAGTAGCAGCATTTGCTGAAAACAGTCAGGGCTAAACATTCTCTCCCCTAGTTTCTTTTCTACATTATGTTTCCCTGTACCAAAAAGTAACAAACTTGTTTTAAACCAATTCTGATTTTCTACTGTTGCTTTTTATAACTCAGTTACAACACTAATAAACTTGTGTAAATCAATAGAAGAACAGGGAGTGGGAGCGGTAGTAAGGCAACAAACAATGCTTTGAGATACAAAGGATAGGAAGTGGTGGAGAGCCATGATCACTCAAAATTTTTTTTTTGTACTTGCTCAGTTCCTTTTCTCTCTGTATACAGGCTATTTGTTTCCAGTAAATGTTTTAGATTATTCTAATATCTTTCCCAAATAAATCAAGTTTTCCTTGTGGTTCAAACAGTTTTTTGTGGCATACCTTATCGCAGAAATGTTCAATTACAAAATTTTAATAAATTGCCTTTGTTTTCTTTTAAACAAATATAATTAAAATGACAATATTTTTATTATTTTCAGGTGTTTATGGGGAACACTGGATAGGTAATGATATCATTCATCAATTGACCAATCAGAAAGTGTATAAGCTTCGTATTGATCTTACAGACTGGAATAAAAATAAGGTTACTGCATTTTATGATTATTTCATGGTTGAACATGAAAATGAAGGCTATCGCCTACATGTTGAAGGTTTCACTGGTGAAGGTGGAGACTCTTTATCAAAGCACAACTTACATAAATTTTCCACAAGGGATGTTGATAACGATCGGGTGACAAAGCAATTTGGCGGGAGTTGTGCTAATCGCTTTTCAGGTGCATGGTGGTATCACAAATGTTATTCATCCAATTTGAATGGAGTTTTTTACCGAAATGGAGTGGTAGCTGAGAAAAAATTTGATGGAATTGCCTGGAAGTCTTGGAAAGGTCCAAACTATTCGATGATGAAAACAGAGATGAAGATTGCTCCAACAACAATTGAGATGAAGTAAGATCAGCTCTGACATAGAAGCTTCAGAAAAACTTTCTTATCATCAATTTTTCATAGTCTTCATAAATAACATGGTTTCTTTATGATAAATTTACTGCTGTTTTTTAAGGCAGTATCAAGCTGCAGATATTACCATTTCCTTGGCACAACTTAAATTGATTGGTCCACTCATAAAAAAAATAGGGAAGAATTTCTTTGAGCAATTTTTGTAGATTAGCATACATCATTAAACCTGTGGTAAGCCCAGATAAAAAAATAAAATATGAGAATAAAATATATAAACAAACAAAAAAAAAATAAAAATTAAAATAAGGCATTTGCTTTCCTTTAAAAGTCATATCTTGTTTTCTCTTTCTCTCTATATACTGCACTCTCAACTATTGAGATGGCAACCCTCAAATAAAAAAGAGGAAGAAAAAGACTGAACCCAGCCACAGATATTTGCTGGCCCCGATTTCTAGTCATTGTGACTAAAAATCTACCAAACTAAAAGAGGCTTCATACATAAATTTTGCTATAAAAACAAATGACAAAGAAAGAAATGCTGGAAAATAAAAGAATTTTGGCCAAAGAAACAAAAACAAAGACATTTTTGATGTTCATCAAAATCAAGCTTTTGTTAATCTACAAAAATTATTCCCTGCCAAAAATTTCCCTATTTTTACAAGCAGACCAATGAATTTAAGTAGTGCTATTCTTTTTATATGTATAGCAATATGTAAGAGAATTGATATCTATCATAAATTCAGGGAATTCAACGTTCATAAATATCTATGCTACTGATCACAATCACATCTGAGCATATTAAGATATTTATGGAGATTTGTGTTTATTATAACATACAATTCACCCCAAGCAAGGCTATAAAGCCATTAACATGCAAGGCGGATACTGAATGTGAGAGAATATGGGGAAAAATATCATTAAGGAGAAAGAACAATAAAAGAATAGGAATTAAGACAGAAGATAGCAACTGACATTGAATTTACAATCTTGAAGATCAAAGTTGACTGGAATGTGATTGATTTCTTTTCTTACAATTATATTGTGAAATCTGTTTCTCAGAAAATTGGTTCCTTATTGATTTTGAAAACTATACATGTAGTTATTTTAGCTTTGATATATAACACAATAAAGCAGCGGAATTTTTTCAAATGTTTATTTAAATATTTGGAAGGTTGTGTAACCTGTCTTCTGCAGATTATAACCCCCAGTTCCTCATTACTATTATTTCCCCTAGCATATATTTCCATGTTTTTATTAACACAAATCAAATGATCTTTACTCTTGAAACCTGTGAGGTTCCATACATAAGTAATCAATTTGATATGAATGCACCCAGGAAACCTTAAAATCAGATATACCACATTTCTTACAACAGCTAATCTTTTGAAAATGTTAGAAAATTTCTCTTTTGAAAGAAATTCTTTTGCTCTCAATTTTTGAATAGGCAAATTGATATAATCAATACATTTAGTTTAATGTGCAAGTGAGGCAACAACAAAACAAAACCTAGTTTTCTTATATTTGATGAAGTTGAGTAATATTAATTATACTATCATACATTTTGTCATTTTACAATGTTTTCTATTTGAAATACATTTTTATTATTGGGTGTAATATCAGGTTTTGTCATTTTGTTGTCATACATACTTCAGCTGTCCAATGAAGTGCTCATAAATTTAAATGAACTTTTATCATGTATCGGTAAGGAAACTTAATATCCACTTGATTTTTTTAACTGTGTTGACAGATATACCTATACTGTATGTTTTGTGCTTTACAAAACAAAATGCTGGCATCTATTAAAATGGAATGTCTGTATTTAATGTGTTCTCTATCCCGATTAGTATGCCATTTGCTTTAACAAAACTATATTTCAAATGAGCAATCGTCTTCTCATGAGGGAAAATGTCTATTGACATAATATTTCCATATTTATCAATCAGGAAGGCAAAGCTGAAAAACCCAAACTAAATCCAGGAACTATAAATAAACAGGAAAAAGTCTGTATGAACATTCATGCCAAACAGATAAAAGAAAAGAAAATAATCATGTTTGAAAGGCTAGTTTTTATGTTATTTCCACTTTAATTATATATAAAAACTATAAAAATGACATTTTAATACTTTTTAGATTACAAAGTTAAAGAAAAAAGTGAAATAACACAAATGTTAACTTCTTACATCTAATAGGGTTTAACATTATGATACTCCAGGAAGCATTTCATAAACAATGGAATTGTACATTCTTTACACTAAGTTGTCACCATTTTTTGCCTCTTCAAGAACCAAGCAGGCAGACATAACACTGTCTTTGGATTGTTTTTTCCAACTTTATTTGCAGGAAATGACATAACTTTGTGAATCCTAGAGTTGCCAGTTAGTCATTTAGACTTGAATCACGAATACATGATACCTGTATCATTAGAAAAAGTTAAACCTATTAAGTGATGATATCTGTTTATCTCTAATAAAGCATCAGTTGATGATATCTGCAGTATACCATAAATTTTACAAATTTTGTCTATTTGTTTCAAATATGAATCATTTGAAACAATTATTTCTATATTAGACAACCTGATTGCTTTTTGTGATAAGCCATAATGATCAACAAGCTCAATGATATAAAATAAGAATTATTTATTATGGTAGAGTAATGGTTGCTGGGTTATTGATTAATGCTGTATATTTATTTCAGTGTAAAGATTAACAACTTGTGGGTCATACAAACAAGTAAATTCATTCTTTATTGATGATTTTCCTATGAATCCTTATGCCAAAATTTGCCTTACTTTAAGAAATATGTCTATTTGATTATTTCAAATGATGGACAGATCCATTAAAGATAATCTTTGCATTATTTTGAAATATAAAGAAGAATTCCTGATGAACAATAGTTTTTGTTCTTCAAACTTGTAACAACTTGAATGGTGAACAAACGTAGCTTATCAACTGAAAAGCTGAAATCACGTCATGGTGATAAAGTGGCACAAATTGAAAATGTCAGTAAAGAAATTTCTTTTCACAGTGGATATATTTTATGTCTATTGCATCATCAGAAAAAAAGAAATGTAACAGACTTTATCAATTTCTGAGATGAGGATTTATTATTTACTTTATTGATAGTCAGACTATCTTCATTGCTGTTATCACAACATTTTGGCCATTGTGCCCTCTGGCCTTCTTAAGATGTATATCATGACAATGGCCTAGTGGATAAAATCCTTAGTTTTTGAATTTGGTAATATAGTGATTGTGTGTTCAATCCCTGAGTCAGACTGTGTGTACTTGCACTCAGTGGAGCAATAACAGAATAGTACTAAATGGGTGAGCAATAACAGAATAGTACTAAATAAAAATAAGAAATTGATGATATCCCTAGACATGGGCAATGGACTGTGAACACTCTACCCCCATACATTAAATAAAGGATTCAGTCATGGCCCACTAATATATACGGCCCACATGTCACATTTCAGACTAATTTCTAATAGGCCTATTTGATTTATAGTCAATTTATGCCTGTTTTATCTAAAACATTTAAAACCATCCAAAAATACACAAACGGGTTATTTTTTCTCTTTTTAAACAGAAAAGTAATAATAAAAGATTGTAAACAAATAAAAAGTTATTAAAGAATTAAGCAGTAATTCAAAACAAATACAAGTAAAAAAAACTTACCAACAGTTTCTCTATAAATCAATTTTCTTTTGACCTTTGCCTTTTTTTAAAACATTCTACAATATTTTTTTCAAACTTCATCTGATGAAAACTTTCATTTGTTGTTGTAAAATATATTCACAACAATTTATGCTGCAAAGTGAATTTCTTTATCAGTGTGGTGTTCACAAGTAAAAAACATATTTTAGAAAGTAAGTTTCCAAAATTCTTTCAGCAGATTCTCTTGATGTAGATACATTATGTTTTACAATAAATTTATCTGCATAGTCAATATAGCAAAACAAGTACAAACTCTGTCATTTGGCTAGATGGAACTGTAAAACCTCCTCAAGAAAGTAAATCAAAGTACTGCTTCTCTGTAGCATCATCACTATCATTGCCTACCATGACTAGGGAATACATTTCACATTGAAAACATTTAATTAATTTTTTGGAATTTCCTCTAATAAAGAAAAAGATGGTAATGGGAATTTCTCCAGAAGTAATTTGTAGGCATGGCGAGATGTATAGCACAGTAGTAAGGCATAACATATTGGTTGTGCAAAAAAGGAACAACCTCTTTGTTGGTAATGTTGTCTTTTTTGTAATACTTTTAGAATTGAGTATGGTTGTTCTTCCACCATGTTTTTTTGTATGTAGTTTGAACAATTTTCTAACATGCTAAATCTTGTATAAACCACTGTGGTAACAGTATAGTGGTTCCATCACACTGAAGCTGGACATAAATGTTTTGGTCAATGCAAATACATTCTTTTATAGATGGAAAATGTGCTTCAGGATCAAAGACTATTCCATAAATTATATTATAATCTTCCTTTTTTTTCAAGATTCAAAAATGTTAGGACAACACTTTGCTTCTTCCAATTGAGTAAAATCGTTTATCATATCAGCTGAAATAAAATCATGTAACTCATCAGTTTGGAGCAGTCGTTGCTTTGGAGGCTTTTGAAATTCCCTTGTATTCGGCAAAAGAGACAGTTTTCTTATTTTTTCTGAATGTATTGTAGGCATTGGTTGTAAATCTCAATTCAGTTTATTTCATTTTTCTTTCAAAATAAATTTCTCTTCTAAATGTTTCATACAGAGAAGTGAATTTTTCATAGAAAACCAATCAATACAATTAACAAATTTTATCCATTTTTCTACGAGGTCAGATTTTCCAAGAAGAAAAGAAAATGTCAGTACTTTTTCACTATAACATATCCACTAGAACAGCCAAATGCAACACATTTGTTAACCATTTTTTGTTAAACAAAACAAACTCTATAATTTAATCTTTAAATGCAATGGACTATGATTCAGAAAATTTACATAACAGTGTTCATTTGCAAAACAGGGCATATACACAATTGAAAATCATAAAAGTGAGGTAACTCACAGCTGTTTATAATTTGTGGATTAGTAAAAAAAAAAAAAGAAGTGTAAATATGCACTTTAGTGTTGAACACGTTTAGGGAATTGAAATAATGTCTGATAAATTCTACGTAACTGTACATTGTTAATCTACATTCTAAGAATTCAGTTTTTAAAGTTACCACCCTTTTAGATTAGCAATTTTCTAAGCGGCCATTTACATTTTTTATTTGTTTATAATGTATTGTTCTCTTAGAATTCAGCTTGTTATGTGACATGTGGAGCCATATAATACTAGTTGGCCATGGTTCAGTTCAGAATTTATTGCAGGTTACCCAGATCAATATACTCCTGAGGAAGCCTGGAGGACACAATGGCCAAAATGTTGGGATAACAAAAACAAAGATGAGGAGAATAGTCCAAATGTAAATAGTGTAAATAATGACTTTATCAAGTTGTAAAAATATTTCTAAAAGGATTCCTCCTGATGTTAGCCAAGTGTTGGTGAGCCATTTATTTTTTTTTGTGACATGAATATCCTCCAATCATTCAACATCATTTCTTCCAGTTATTTTCTCTTTCTGAATTAGAAAATAATGTTTAATTTTTAATATTTTGGGGAAGATGACCTCTACTCCTAAATGTGATACATTTTATAGTCACACTGATTTCATAATTAACTACTGTGCAATAAAATGATTTGGAATAACTGATCATTTTGTTTCAAACTTTTTATTAAATAAAATGTAAAAAAACTGATCTTTTGCTTTGTTATTTATCTTTTTAATATAATTATTATATATATATATATATATATATATATATATATATATATATATATATATATATATATATATATATATAAATATAAACAATACGTATTTTAGCCAAAATTTTCAGATCTATGGACTAAAAAAATGATTAATGCCCAGCCAAATTGAATTTTAAAATAAATATGCATTGTGTTTTGCTGATGGACTGTCTTATTTGGGTAGATTGAGGCAAAAAGAAAAATTTCTGGTGATAAAGTGAAGTTTTTGCCTTGATAAAGTCCATCAGAGGAGGAAACGTTGGCTAAGATATGTTTTCCTTTTGTCTTTCTATGTGAATGGCATCCATCATTCTCAAGAAACCTTGGATCTGTGCCCAAAGATTTATGCCTCAGCTACTCTAGTCTTTCCGTCATGCACACTTCTCCCAAGCCTTTGTTTCTCCTCTACTCGCTCCAGCCTTTAGTGTAAATCATATCTCCAGCATGAGCGATTATTGGCAATCCATGTCCATCATCTCATGTCTCTTTTGCAGCGAAGATGAAGTTGCCCTGTTGCTGGTAACCAGTTCCCTATTTGGAAGCACTATTGTAATCCTCCTATCCAGCATATGACTTACATGTCCAAGCCAGTGAAGTCGGCACTGTTGAAGAAGGGCGTATAGGCTGGGTAATTGGATACAGGTGAAAACTACAACATTGGTGATCCATACAGAACAATTGATGCCCAAAATGTGCCTGTAATGATGTGGGTAAAGAGCTGTAGAGTGGGAGGAAAGAAGAAGAAAGGGCCATATGACAGGAAAAGAAAGAAGGCCCTTAAGAATCTAAATTAATAGCCAAATCATACCAATATGTTATAAACTCATGTATGGTAGCATAAGAAAAAAAAAAAAACAAGTGCTGGTGAGGTAAAAAGAAAAAAGACAAGAATTCTTAAAATAAAATTCTTTGTATTGCCAATAGAGAAGATCAAAATAGGATGTCTCTTTGTGGGTGAAAGAAGTGACTCTGAGATAGGGGAGAGTTGGTAAGGGCTGGAGTTGATGCATGTATCAGGTTGGTTGACCGAGGTCACTAATGACTTTGATTGCTTGCCCATTCACTGCAGCTGCTTACAGTGCCGTAAACAGCATTCTTAAAGGTGGTTCATACTATATTATACAAATGACAGATTGTAATCTCAAATCTTGACTATTCATAAATTATTTTTTAGTAGACTAAAACAAAAAACAACATCTTATGTCTTTCTATGACTCTTCCCTTATGATGAGAGAGCAAGGCAGGTTCATTCTAAAGACACATATGACAAAATTTAATTTGAAAAAAATGGACGGAATATTCGCACCTGAATATTATTTTCAACTTTTATACAACACTATATGTACAATTATTTAGTTGGTGATAATTCAATGTCTTTCTTTTCACTGAGATTTATTATTTCTGATGAAATCTCGGTAAACAGATGCTCCCAATTCCAAGGTTTGTCTTCCTGAAATAAAAACAATGTTGGTTATTACTAAAGAGATAATCAATTTTTCTTTAATTATTATACTTTATTTGAAACATCTCATATATAACTATATTTAATAACATAAGCAATAAGATCTGATAAGTTTCCAATTTTGGCAGGTAATATTTAATGAAAAATAACATTGAGTGACTTTGTGAATACATTTTCTTTTCATAGAAATTAAATTTAAACAGTGTAAAATGAATAAATTTCAAACAAAATAATTTAAAAAAACACTTCACAAATTTATAAAATAGGATAAAAATCGTGCTAATTGCAAAATATATATTTTCTGTGTAGAAAAAAATAGAAAGAAATAATATGAAAAATGCAAATATTTTTTTGTAATTTGTAAATGTGAAAAACATTTACAAAGTGAAAAATCTAAATTGTTAGTGTTAATGATGAAAAAGCTATAAATAAACTGTGACATTTTCAGATAGAATTCTCACTGCGAAATTATGTATTTTAATTTTAATTCATTCTTTTTGTCTTTGATGATAGTAATTGTAATGGTTATATAATAATATTCCACTTGAGATGTTATTAAGTTATTCAGAATTAGTTTGAGGAGCATTTACACTTAATGAACATTTACATAGCATCATTTGATTTATTGTTATGGAAGAGTTTCACAGTGGAGGCTTGTATTTGTACTAAGTCGGTCCTAAAATAGGTTCGACGTACAAAACGTTAGAAACTTGATATAATAGGTTAAGACACAAAAAAACTAGTTGTGGTCGCTGATACTTTAGTATCCTACTAACAGTCATCCGGCATTGACTGACTCCCTGAACCCCTGAGTGACTCCTACTACTCCTACTTATTATAGGTGGGGAGAGTCTATTAACAACAGAATAGGTTGTGTTCCACTATAACATTTATAGAGCAGAAGTTTTTGCAGATATTTTCTTTATACTTCTAAAATAGAAATTCATTAATCAAGTTATAAAAAATGAAATCTGTTTTGAGACAACATTGGGATGAAATGAAGAAGAAATTAGAAACTCAATATTTAACTCTTTTTTTTTTTTTTTTTCTTGGCAAATAAAAAAACTTAACCCTTTGAGCCCTGACCACTGCTTTTACCAGTGGAGGAGAAAAATGACTTAATGCCCAGCCACTGGTTGAATCATGGGTAAATACTTGCATTGTGTTTTGCTATTGGTTGTCTTATTTGGGTAGATTGAGGCACAAAGAAAAATTTCTGGTGATAAAGTGAAGGCATGCAATCATATGCTCTCCCTGCTAAATATAATGCTTATATATTTTTTTTATATCTATTTACATATGAAACATTACATACCAATTATTTGCAAATTTAGACTCAGGAGCTCAGGCAGAAGGGTTAAAATTGTTCAGCAACACAGGGCTCAAAAGGTTAAACAGGAAAAAAAATAACAAACCTCAATTAAATCAGATTCAGGTAAGAGGCACCGAGTTAGGGCGGACAAATCCACTTCATTATCCTATCAAGAGAAACAAAAAGAATAAAAAGTGAAAAATCAAAGTTTTATTCTATTATATATATATATATATATATATATACACACACACACACACAGATAAATCTCTTATCTCCGAAACCCCACCATATCAATGGACTTTGGATACAACAGACAAAATTAGCAGGCAAAATAAAAAAAATCTGCAGGAAAAAAAAAACTTCCAAATTGTCAAATTTTTGATTCTACGTTTAATGAAATGTGGCTTTTTCATCCAAATAATGTTTTTGAATGACTGTTTTCAACTTTTTGTTTATTTATATTATGCCACTTATGAAATGTTCTAGGGATCAAAACAATGAAATCTGGTGTGTATGGAGAAGATAGAAGAAACATTCATCTTCACAATTTTTTAAGTGTGTGTGTGTGTGTGTGTGTATATATATATGGGATTTTATAGAGTGTCTCCTTGCATGGTTCTGCTGGAGAATAACACCTTTTTTCATAGTAAATCAGGATACAGTTGATGTAATGCATTATTTACTGGATTAAGTTGACGGCAATAAATGTCTGTAGTGATAATCTTTCCATGTTCCAGTGGCTTTTCATATTCCACCAGGCATAAAGCCAAGGCTAGAGAACCCAGTCTTCCCTGCAATTTAACACATAGCTAGAGTGAGATAATATAGATCTATGCTTGTCTGAAGGATATTTGTGTAAAACTGAACCTAACTGACTAAACCAGAATTTGAACTCATTTTGCCAATTCCAAATTCCACTGTTAAACTATCCACACATCCCTATAATAATGATTAGGTAAAAAAAAAAAAAAAAAACAATTTAATGATGGAAAAAACTGTAGCAGAAATTTCCATATGAATAAAATTTCTTTGAGACAAATTTTTATTTTAATTTCAAACAAACAAATCACTTCTCTATGCTTCTTTATTGTGATTATTCTTCTTATTCGAAAACTTACCAAAGTTAAAAATGTTGCCTGCTTTAAATCATTATCCAGTTCACGATACGTCAATATCTTGCTGAGCTGAACCCTGCAATAAAGTAAAGACCCAAAACATTTTATGTATAATTATGTTAGTATTTTCATATTTAAATGAATTTTAAAAAAACAATTGAAAAACCATGAGGCTTACTGGTATATTTGTTGAATAAAACTTCACCAGACATACAAAATATTTTAAAGAAAGTGACTGATATTAAAAATGCCATGGTTTATAAAAGAGAAGGAAATCAACAGAATAGAAAATAGAAATAAATACAAATAAAAATGATTTAGTTGAACAGATAAAAATGTTGGTTCTCGCTTGTTTGAGATAAATGCTATCATAAGTTCAATTCCTAGGTTTTTTTGGATTCTTAATCCTATTTGATACTGGAACAAAAGTAACCCTCTTGTAAAATAGTTGCACTTACACGATAAGTGCAATATTAGATACAAATGTTGTGTGGGACTGTCCTTGTGTAATGCTCAGTTGAAATAAAAAGTTCCATTTAAAGTGTCAAAATGATTATACCATATAAGTAACTTATAAGAATTTGAAAGGGATAATAAAAGGAGCTAGCCCTTAATCAGTCAAAGATCATCCTTGAACTTGAAACCCTTACTGATCCGGGACTCTGATTGGCTAAATACTGTTCAATCAGGATCCCTTCTTGGGTCACACAGTAAATTCGATCCTGAAAACTTCCTTTTTTGCAAGTAACAATTGTAGTGACCACACATTTATTGGAGCCGTCCTTTCTGACATTAATGGAGTACAAAAGTCATGAGGCCACAAATCCCAATTGATCCTTGGATACTCTTCTAACAGTGAAGTTCACAAATATAAATTATATTTGCAAGTCTTCTTATTACCTATTATACATACACCCCCCTTTGTACATTAAATGCATTTAATTTAATACTGTCATTTAGTTGCTTCTCTTCTTCAAGTGTGTCCATCTTTTTCTTTAACTTTGTGAAATTAACTACACCTAAGGGAAATCTTTATAAACTGTGTCTATTAATAACTAGAATGGAGTAGAAAAAAATTTTCAGATGAATATTTTCATACAAAGAAATTGTAAAATGAATTCCAGATTTTGAAGATAATATACATCCATTTAAGTTAGTTTACCTTTTGCAATTCATAGAACTGTTTGCTTTTCTGCCTAAATAATACTATCAAATTCTGGTTACCTGTTGTAATGGAATGTCCCACTCTCCCTATCACCTATTGTAGACTGACTATATCAGTAAATATATATAGTGAGCACAGAATATACCTGGTGACTTGCTTCAGGGATTACTAGCCTGCTAACTGATTCCCTGTCTTTCAGTAGTGTATTCTCTTTTACAATAAACCTCAATGTTATAGGTTTGTTGCCATAAAGCTCTTTCTTTGTTGAATGATCTTTCCAGGATTTGATTAGTGCTGCTCAAAGAATTCATGTGTAAGAACCATCTAACTTCTTTTCTGTTGTCCTGTTCCTTTAGAACAATGTCTATTATTAATAGAAAGGATTTGCAAATATATAAATAAATGAAAACTTTCAGGATCATGTGCCACTTGGCTGGAAGGTAGGAAGTTCTATTCATAGGCTTATATGCGTTAAGTCACAGTTAGGATGGTCAGTTACAAGCTGGTGTTGCAAGAAAAAAAAATGAATCAATTCTGAGTCATCATTTTTTGCACAGAAACTGAGATTTTTAGGGATATTACTTAAATCTATTGAATTTTTCTACAATTTTAAATGGGTTTACACTCATGTTATACCGGAACATACCTATTCTATTGTTAATAGACTCTCCCACAGATAATAAGTAGTAGTAGTAGTAGCAGTCGCCAGGGGGCTCAGTGGAGTTGGTGTGTCAGTCAATGTTGGACATTGAAGTATCAACCACCACAACTAGATTGTTGCGTCATTAACTATTATTTTCAAGTTCCTAACGTTTTGTATGTCGAACCTAATTTAGGACCGACTTAGTGAAATACAAGCCTCCACTGTGAAAACTACTCTACAACAACTCACACACATATACAAGCATATATATATATATATATATATATATATATATATATATATATTTATATTTATATATATGAAATCCTAATGGATGAAACGTGTCACAAAAAATACCTTTCCAGTTTGTCATATTCTTCTAAATATATATATGCATGAGGATAGGTTGAAAAGTTCACAGGCTGACAATGAAGGAGTGATGCTAGAGCTGTGAAATCTTGCATGCATTAATTTCAAATCTTATTATTAATAACTGTATTGTTTCTTTCCAGGTAAACTGATATCTGACTTTTCAAAGATTTTAAAAATAAATAGTAGTGAGTTCTCTTGAAAATCATGCTTCAGTTTTATCAACAGTGCATAAATGGGAAGCTGAATTTAGGAGATAAAGAAAGATTCTTAAAGATGACCCAATGTGTGGGTGTCTTGAAACTGATACTACCAAGGTAAATATTGATCATGTTCACCACATGGTGTTGGATGACAGATGATTGGCTATAAGTCAAATAACCAATCCTATTAGCATATCTTGTGAGAGAGTTGAGAAGATTCTGCACAATAAACTTGGTATGACAAAGGTTTTTGCTTGGTGTGTAGCATGTCTTCTGACACCTGATCAAAGGTGCATCAGACTGATCACATGATTGGAAAATCTGACATTTTTTGAGGCAAAATCCAGCTGGTTTCCTTGAACATTTCCTAACTCATCATTCTGAGCCAGAAACAAAAAAGATCATCCATGCAGTAGAAACATCCCTCCTCACCTGTTCTGATGAAGGCCAAAGTTGTTTCTTCTGCAGGGTAGGTAATGGACTCAGTTTTATGGGATTCAAAAGGCATTGTGTTTATTGATTATCTCCAAAATAGCCACACCATCAATGGAAATTACTATGCCAACTTCCTGAGGCAGTTACAAAAGGCTATCAAGACCAAACACACAGGAAAACTGATGAAAGGGGCTTGTTTCATCAGAACAATGTTCTGGCACATAAGTCCTTGATTTCAATGGCTGTTGTGCATGATTATGGCTTTGAACTGGTTGATCACTCTTCCTATTCTCCTGCTGTTCCCTAACATGAAAAAACACTTGGCTAGGAATCAATATCGCAGTGATGATAACATCATATCTGCTATTCATGACTTTTTTGACCAACAGGATGAACAGGCTTTTTTAGACAGAGCTCTAACATCATTCCTTCATAGTCAGCCTATGAACTTTTTATCCCACCCTCTTATATAAAACAAACCAAGGTATTAGGAAAATTTTCAAATGCAACTCCACCAACATAAAGTCTGCCAAATGGAAACACTTGAAATGACAAAAGAAAATAAAAATAAAAGCCAAAAACCAATAAACAAAGAAATGAACAAAAAGAAAAAGGAAACATAAACAGAAAAGACAGACCAAAAGAGAGATACTTACACAGTAATCCAAAGTGCTCAATGTCTAAATCAAATCAACTCAGACAGAACAGTAACCCTAATCAATGTGACACCACACAAGAGAATAAGTTCAAATCACTATATATATATATATATATATATATATATATATATATATATATATATATATATATATATATCCTGCATACAAGAAAGATGGAACCATACTTACACAGGAGCTTCAGCTACTTGCATTGTGATGTCTTCTTCTTCTGTTTGTTCTTCAAGTTCAGGAATAACTGGAATTTCTATTTAATAAAGCAAATAATTTGCATATCATTTTCTTGGACATTTTCATTTTGCTAAACGGATCATTTTTACATAAATATTTAATAATAGAATAGTATTACTGTATGAACCACAGATGAATTTAAAGAAAGTGAAATATGTAAAAATTCACAAAGGAAAATATATGATAGTCGAGGTTTCAAAGTTAGTTGTCAAAGATGGATACCAGCATTAAAAAAGATTTAATTATTTTACAGATTTTAACAGTTATAAAAAAAAGTTCTCAAAAATCTGAAAATAAAATACATAAAGATTTTTAGCATTCAAACAATAGATATAAATTTTGATGGAATTTTTTTTACACAATGATTTTTATTTTCAAGAAAATTAAAATAGTATTCACTGAAAAAGAATGAGAAGAAATATTAACCTGAATCTGATGTTTCCTCTTCCAAAAGGTTTTTAGGACGAAGACGCTCACTACAAGGAAAGAAAAATCAATCAAATGTGTCATCCACAAAATTTGTAATAGGCTTTTAGTGGGATTATTTATAAGTGATAAATTTAAAAGATAAAAAATTATTAATGAAAATTATTTCATTACATAGCAGAAACTGAGAGATATGTATTGAAAATGTACTAATTTCAGAGTCTTCCATCATAAAAATATGTCAATGATCATGCAACACAACATCAATGTTCTCGATTGAACATATTACTACCTCACTGTATCACACAAACTGAAACAGACAAGCTGAACGGTTTGTGGGTACTTTTAAGAGAGCTTAGAAAAAACAAGTAATGAAAAAGTGAGCAAAGAAGCACTACAAACATTCTTGAGACGATACCAGATAATGCCGAATCCCAATACACTGACTTGTCACCAGCAGAATTGATATTTGCAAGAAAAATTAAATCAGTGTTCAACAAGTTGTTACCATTTCAAAAAAGAATAAGAACAGATAACAAAATTTTTCAAAAATTGTTAAAAAAAGTTTTTTAGAATATATAAAAATGGAAAAGAAATGTGGGAAGATGGTGTAATATAGTCACAAATTGGAAAATTAATATATAGAGTAAAAGGAAAAAAATGGGAACACAAAAGGCATTGGAATCAGATAAAGAAAAGGTTTACAAAAGAAAAAAAGGAGGAACCTATGCAAGTACTGTATGATACTTTTGATGTACCAACACTCCAAGAATTTGTTGAATGTACAAATATGATTACCAGAAAAAGGAAACATATCGAAAAACTGGAGGTTGACCCAAAATGAAAGAAATACAATGTTCAGTACATTGGTGAACTTGCCAGAAATAGGAGGGGGGTGAATACTAAAAAATAAAATATTTATTAATAAAAAAAGTCTCAAAAGGGGGAATGTGGAGTAAGTAATACACCACTTGGTAACACAAATGAACTAGGCAAGATGCCTTAAATAAAGAACTTAAAATGAGTCAGTAGAAGTCTGTTTGAATCGAGAGAATTCTAATGATGTAACGGTGAGTATCCTAAGCAAGACATAATATTATAACTGCTAGGAATGAGTTATACCAGAAAGGCTTTGTAATGAGAAATCTAGAGCTGAAAATCTGTAGCAATCTAATGTGCTCTGGCAACTTCTGTGAGAATAATGGTGCCAAGGTATATTCACATTTCCAATACTCTTGGGGGTCAAACTTACTGCATGGACAGCTGTTTATCAATATCTATAAAACAGAAGCTGTCTGTGTGTATGCTATTTATGCATGTCCACATTTCTTGACTGATTTCAATGAAATTGCACACACGTTGCAAATTTACAAAGGTAGGTCAAGACCAACTTTTCAATCTCTAGGCCCTAGAGTTTGGCAGAAATTTGATAAAACTTAAGGTGAATACAACTTTTTGCAAAACCAAGGCAAAGTTACACGCAAACAAAATTTTTACTGGATGAGCTGATGTTCTTTGCACTTAATGCAAAACGTAGCTCATGTTACAAGGTTTATGTAGAGTGCTAGATAGTTTTCTTGTGACATTGGCTTCACACAAAAATTACAAAAAACTGTGAAAAAAATCAGGTTTTTCATACTACTTAAAATAAAAACTTGAATAACTTATTTTGTATCTGATTCTCTTCAAACATGCCACAAAAAATTGCCATCATGCAAGAAATAAGATTTTAGTTCTGCTTGCTTCCCCCATATAACAAAAAAAAAGAAAAAAAAACTGTTTAAAAAGATCATTTTTTGGCCATAACTCTGGTTTTTCATCCACTGCTTTCCAAATTTGCCATGTAAATTACATATCATACACAAATTGTCTTGCGTGAATGTTTGGTTTAGATTATTTCAGTTAAGTGAACAAAATCTGTGACAAACTAGGTCCAAAATTAGCTTTTGTCATTTAGCCAATAATTTCTTCATATTATTCCATCCTAAATAGGGATTCTAACAAATTTCGATGCAAAGATTGCTTGAGAAGGATTACTGAAGCATTAAAAGGGAAAAATTCCCAAAGAAACTCTTATTAACCCCAGCTTTATAGTAAACATGTGAAGAAGGAGGGGGGGGGGCGTTCATATGTTTGCAATTGCAGTTGAATCAAACTCTAATGCTTCACCCTTGTTTTTGTTTGATCATTAGATTTGTGAACTATTTGAAAGTTATTATGGCTATAGAAATTTACTGAATATCTAAAATACTGAAACAATTCAACTCTGAGCAACAACCACATAAGGTTTTATCTATGGAATTCATTTGTTAAGAACAATCAAACAATTGTGGGGAACATACCGTAAAAATATGAATGGGGGTAGATTAGTATGCTAACGGATGATGCATGCAAGCTGGGATAAATTTCTGGGTTTTGAAAATCTGACTCATAGCTACTATAAAAAAAAATTTGCTAATACCAACTAGCAATCCCTTGACCCCTTTGATGTTTTCAGCAGTATGCCTATGTGACTCATTCTGTGGCCTGATTGTTAATGACACCAAGACTCTCTTGGCCAATCAAAACCCAGCCCCTATAGTAATATCCTGGTTAAGTATAAATCACTTTCTTTAAATGTGTCATCATAAAGACCCTGCAATGTCTACTTGAGGAATTAAAAATTTATGAGACTAAGTCAAACATTTCTACCTTTTGGTCACATTGTCATTCCTGGCCTTATGGGAAGAGTAAACACTCTGGATTCAAACTATTCAGCTACTATATATCAAGATTAAAGAAATCCTTCATCACAACAGTGATACAAGAAGGCTTTAGAAATAAAGTATTGTGAAGGAAAGTTTTTGATTTTTTACAAGGTTCTTGAATGTAATATTTTTACTTTGTTTCATATCTTGTTATTGACCAAAAATTTCATATTTTTGGCACACAATACACTAACATTGTGTAAGCCCAGGATAATTCATAATATGTTTTCTGCAATAAACTTTTTATGATTCTCAACCTGTGTCTCCAGTGTCGTGTGTGCAGCTCTTGTTATTACTCCTCATCACAGTTTTCTGCTGCAGGATTATTTTAATAATTTTTATCAATAAATAAAAAGACATTTGATATGGTTTTAAATAGTTTTAAAGAAAAAATAATGTAAGTATCATTTTGAAAAAAATTATTTTGCAAATATTGTACATTTACATTTATTAACCAGATTTGGTAAAATGATATTTCTATTAATCTATTAATGGCCACTATAAACTCCAATATTAATTATAAAAATCCAAATCTAGAACCTCCTTCTAATAGAATATCTTTCTGTTATCAACGTGCAGACTGGGACTCGTTCCGTGATTTCCTTCGCGATGTCCCTTGAAATGTTGTTTTCAATCATCCTGTTCAAAAATGTGTGTCTGAGGTCTCTTCCTGGGTAAAAGCCAGCTTTGAAGCTTTCATCCCAGCAAGAAAATACAAAGTTAAATCGTGCTCATCTCCTTGGCTCTCAGCTGCTTGCTCAGCTGTACAGCCCATAGGAATCACTTCTTCTGACTGTACCAGAGTGACATGTCTGATTGCAACAGAAGTCTCTTTGTCTCTGCTCATAATGAGTGTAAGCATGTCTTCACTGGAGCAAAGTTTCTATTTGCTGATAAAATGAAATAATGTATTGCATCTCACAAGTTTGGTTCAAAAGATTACTGGTGGCTCTGCAAGGGTGTGCTGAACAACAGCAAATCCTCAATCCCTCCTCTATTCAATGAATTTGATATCCTAACTTCCACAACTGATAGGGCTGAATGCTTTGCTTGGAAATTCTCATCCAACTCAACACACAACTCCTCCAGAGTTCCCACATCTGATTTTCCCCTAGAACTGAGGCTCTATTAAATGAGATAAGCATAACCTCATCATGGACATCATCTCTAAATTAGACTCTCATAAAGCAATTAGTGGTGACAGAATATCAGCCATAATCCTAAAGAAATGTGCTCCTGAGTTGGCTCCTGTCCTTTCCAAACTATATAACTATTGCCTCACTGACTCTTGCTTTCCAGCCTGTTAGAAGTCCTCATCTGTTGTCCCTGTTTTTAAGAACTCTGGAGACCCTTCTGACACACCTAACTACCATCCTATCAGTCTCCTACTGCTCTTCGCCAAAGTCTTCGAGGCTTTAATCAATGCTGAAGTGGTTAAGCACCTTACCTCCCATGATCTACTCTCTGACAAACAATATGGTTTCCGCTTTGCCTGGTCTACTGCTGATGTGCTTATGGGCATAACTGAATTTGTATATCAAGCTCTTGATAATAATAGCGACGCTAAAGCTGTAGCTCTGGATAGGCATTTGATAGGGTTTGGCATGCCTGCCTTCTACGTAAACTTCAGGGATACAGTATTACAAGATGATTATTTGATCTAATCCAATCATTCCTGTCAAACCATGAAATGAAGGTCATCCTAAACAGGTTCTCCTTCAGTTCTTTCATAAGAACACTGGTGTTCCCCAAAGTTCTATCTTGGGTCCTATACTGTTTCGGATCTTCATCAATGATCTTACTGATGTCATCAGTTCTCAAGTAGGCATCTACGCAGACAACACTACTATTTACTCCTGTCTCAATAGTAAATCTAATATTGCAGACAAAGTTAACCTGGCCGTTGGTCTCGAAAAGGACCTCCAATCTGTGGTTGACTGGGGCAGAAAATGGCTTATAAATTTGAATGCCTCCAAAATGAAACTGCTCTCATTTACCCGCCATAGAGAACCCTCCCTGCTTCCTATCAGCATAGGTGATGCTCAACTCCACAGAAGTGTCTCTCTATTCTTTCTTGGTCTCACATTTTCTCGACCTGGGGTGGAACAACTATATTGAATCAATAGCTACATCTATTGCAAGGAAAATTGGTTCTCTGTGTCGCGCCAGAAGGTTTTTCACATTTGAGTCCATCCTTCAAATCTACCATTCGTCCTTGCATTGAATACTGTTGCCATATATGGTCTGGTGTCCCTGTTGTTCATCTCAAGGTTCTCAACAAAATCCAAAGACACATATGCAATGTGATAGCATCTCAACACCACTCACTTTCTCAAAGATGTAATGTACCTTCCTTCTGTCTTTTCTACAAATATTTTCATGGCATTTTCATTGGTGCCCCAACTGCATGAATTTGAGCATGCTACTATGTTGGCATTTTAGTTGCACCCTTTTACTGTTGAAACAATTAAATGTAACCACCTCTTCTACTCCAACAGCTTCTACTCTCACACTTCCGAACAGTGGAACTCACTTCCTCTTACTTGCTTCCCTGGTAACTATAATCTTCAAAAATTTAAATGTAATGTCAATCATCTTCTGATGTCTTGATCGCTATCCTTCTCTTTATCCTTTCCTCAAACACCCCTCTTTTCTCTTACTTACTTTCACTGCTTGTAAACCCTTGCATGCTAGTGACATTCCCACCTTGCTTAGAGTGAAATATTTAAAAAAAAAAAAAAAAAAAAAAAAATTATAGGTTTCTAAAATGAATCTAAAATTTAATCAAAGGCTTATAAAAAAATTCAGTATTAATTATAGTCCTCCATTTATAGCTGATTAGTACCAACCATCCCCCAAAATGAAAAGTAAAAGACTGGAATAATTTGAAAACAATTTTGAGATATTTTGACAATATCTTTCTTGACTATTTCCATTATTTTTGAACTTCTAGAATCCAATAAAAACAAAAATCAGTAATGAATTTGTTCCAAAATAAGGGAAAAATACTTCAATAAAGTGAAAATATTAAATAGGATAAACAAAGAAGTTGATTTGAACAGATTGTGACAGATAAAATATAAAGAATTCTTAAAATGCTTTGTTTTTTTATATCAAGATTCTCTTCAAATAATCTGAAAATAAATAACTCACTCTTCTAATGGGTTTGATGTATTCTTTGATGATTTTCTGAAAAATATGAACAGCATATTTCAATTCGCATTAAATAATCCTATAAAATTAACATATTTTCAGTAATAAGAAAATTTAGTCTAAAAATATTAATATCATTATACTGTGATTGATAAACAACTAAAACAATTCTAATTTTAACCAAGATTTAAAATTGTAGTATCAATAAGGAGTAAATATAATTACCTTTAATCCAACCTAAAAAATAAATTGGCATCTAGACAAAAAATGACTGTATTTACTGTGGTGCTACTGTGGTGAGCACAGTTAAATATATATATATATATAAACAAAATAAAAAAGAAGAATTCAAATTCAAATAAGGCTTTCCTTTAAAAAACACAACTCTTTTTCTCTCTCTCTCTTCCTATATTTCTCTTTCAACTAATGAGAAGGCAACCCTCTACCAAAATGAGGAAGAAAAAGAGAAGGCTAAACATGGCTGCAGAAGTTTGCTGGTTCTAATTTCTAGTCATCGGCTGCAAAACGGTGGAAGTAATCAACTAAAATTAGAGAGAGTCTCACACATAACTTCCACTATAGACAAATTTGAAAAGAAAGGAACATTGGAAAATAAAAGAATTTTGGCCAATCAAAAAAAAAAAAAGAACACAAAGAGACTTTTGATGTGAGCCAAAAGCAAGCTCATTTGGAGCCCTGACTTAAGGGATATAAACAGACAGTCGATGGACAGAAAAAAAGAAGAGACCACCAGAGAAACCATCCCAGTGTGTCACGTGAAGAGGTTAAGCAGTAGTCTGCTTAAGACATTCTTCTGCCCTTCTTAGGGGTTGAGAAAACATGGCAGATTGATGTTCGCAACAAGTTTACAAAATAAACACACACACTCAACTGCTACCAAAAGGATTTTTGCTCAAATCGAAGTTAAACCAATAAATATATATCATTTTATACCTTTTGAGTTTGTTCATTTATTTCTTAAGTTTTCAATAAATAATAATAAGAACCCTTTAGTATTTATCCACACTAATGCAAAGGATAGAAAGATTGACTAATTGATTTGTTTAACGGCATATCAACTCCTAATGGGTCATTTAATGCTGAAATTTAATTTTCTTGGCAGCTTTGAAGTAATAAAAAACATATATGTTATTCTGCTTTCACAATTGAATACATGGTAGATGATACTTGGCTTTTGTGCATATACATCGTTACTACAGATAGTGATATGTGTGTTTAATGTTGTAGTTTTTTTAAGTTATATTTTGGAATAGTTTGATTTCTTTAAGAAATTGTAGGATATTATATGAATTAATGTCACAAAAGAGTTCTTTCATTTTGGCTGCTTGATTTTGTTTAGTGGCATATCAACACCTCTATTGGTTATTTAATGACAAAATATTTTGAAGCATTTTTTTTACTTCAACTAAATATATTGGAATGCAATTGTAGGCCTACAACTACAGATAAAATGTATTATTGGTAGTTTTGATTTAAACAGTTATTGTTCGTAATTTTACTATGAACAGGTATTGTTGGTAATTTTACTATGAACAGGTATTGTTGGTTGGTTGATTTTGTTTTGTGACATATCAACCTCGATGGGTTATTTAATGCTGAAATGTAATATTTTGTAAGAAATTTTATGCCTTCAACTATAGATATTTTGTACATAATTTTATACTTTAAGGGTAAAGGTATACTTTTTAGGGATATGGTTTGTAGATGATAAAATGTATTGCTGTTGATTTTTGTTTGGTGTTTCACTATTTGCCCCAAGCTGGGATCCTAACAGGTACTACCACACCAGTTCAGAGTGGGCCAGGGAACAACAGCAGTTAAGAGGTGGTTCCATGCTCCTCAAAACCTTCAATCTCCTGATTAGAGGCTTTTCTACTGGATGTAGTTTATTGTTGTACCCAGAATGAAGGTAGAAATAGAAAGAGAGAAAAAGAGACATGGGTTTTAAAGGAAAGCAAATGTCTTATTTTAATTTAAATTGTTTTTTATTTTATTTATATATTTTATTTTCATATTTTATTTTTATTTTTTACTTCAGCTAACCACAATATTAAATTAAATCTGACTGCATTCACTATATTTTGGGATGCTCCTCCAAGTTTTGAGTTGATTAAAGCAGCACAGGTTAGCCTTGGAGAATAGATATGATTGTGCTTTAAGCATTATATTATTTTCATGTTAGCCATTACATTCTTATATTGAAACTGAAGTACCAAAATTTATAGACAGTTCCTCCCTCTGCTTGAATAACAATGGCTATATGACCAACATGTCCTGGAATCGACAAGGTGATGGTATCATTTTTATCTTATTTTTATTAGATGAAACATTTTCAAATATAATCAAGATCAAAGTAAATACTAATAAAAAATTAATGGTTTACACTGTTGTGCTTATATAACATGAACAACTAAAGTGTTCATTTAAAATAAAACATGTTTGCTAACAACTGATGTAACACTAAATTCAATGCTAACAGTTTTACTTCTTGCACATCGAACTCTCTTGCCAACTTTGATCTTCAAATGTTTAAATGTAATGTCAATCATTATCTTCTGTCTTAATTCCTGTTCTTCTATTGTTCTTTCTCCTTAACAATATTTTCTTTTTCTCATATGCTTTAATAATCAGTAACCCCCTTGCATCTTAGTGGCTTTATTGCCTTGCTTGGGATGAAATGATTAAAAAATAAAATTGAAAAATAAAACACATTTGCAACTAATGGATATTTATCACAAACATCTAATACAGAATATATTGTAAATTATTTCACAATGTTAAAAACTGATAATTTATAAATTATCAGTTTTTAACATTGCTTAATGAGATTTTATGATTTTTGTAAAATAAAACAATGTGTTTTTTTATATATTTAACAAAGACTCAAATTTTCAATGAACATTAAAATGCAGCCTGTTTCCAAACCATAGAAAAAAAATCACCTGTTCTTTTGAGATCCTTCTTCACCCCATCCAGAAATACGATTTTTGGATTTGGTATTGTCCTATTAAAAAGATACAAAATTCAAATTGAAAAAGAGATATATTCTATATAGGTGATCATGACTCTCCACACATTCCTTTTCTTCATTATCTGTGAAATGTCAAGATTTTTGGGAAAGGTAGTAGAGTGGTTTCCTCTTGTTATACTCCACTGCAAATTAGATCTCTTTCTGATTCACTCTATATGTCAGCTGGATGTGAGTGCTAAGAAAGCAAGACCCAAAAAAAAAAAAAAGTCATCCTCTATGCAGGGGCTACAAGCATCACATCTGGCACACAAAATAAATCCCCTCAAAAATCTAAAATACAACATAAAAAAAGCCAATCGTGAATGTTGCCACCAATGAAAAAAAGATAAGCTCAGGAGCCACTAGATTTGTCTTTAAAAAAGCCGCTCATAAATGACTGGAACAGAAACAAGAACGAGCCAATTCTCAATGCTCGGCAGGCTTTCAACATCAACCAACCCAACAAATACATCAACTCTAGACCTTACTTACACTACCCTTCCTTCAAAGAAGCTTCTCTTGCCTACATTCTGCTTACATCTGTACTGGATATATAAAACAATTTGTATTTACAATTCTTGTCTTCTTTTTCATTTGACCTCACCAGTGGTACTATTGTTTTGTTTGTTCTTCCATGCTACTAAATGCATATTTATAACACTGTTGCCTTCTCTATGGCTTTATTCTTTGGGGAATCCTTACTCTTCTATCCTTGATCTTGGACTCATTTTTCCTGGCAGTGAGCGTTGATTTATTGATTGATTTGTTTTATAGCTTATCAAACATTTGTTGGTTATTTAAAACATTTTTAATTTTATAAGATTAATCCTTTGTACTCAAAAACAAATGGTGCGTAAAAAGGAATTTTTTTCTCTTCACACCACTATTACTATAACTACCCTCACTCCTTGATAAAGTTTATTGTTTTAAAAAGCGAAAATTAGAATTTTAATAACATCTAACCATGTAAAAGTGAATTTATACATTTTCTTTGTTCTTGAGAATTTACAAGATTATTAAACACTATTTATTAGATTGTTTATTTTCAAGAATAATTTTATATTTGCAACATCATTAAAACTAGTACAATGCAATATTTATCATTTACTAATTTATAAAGAAATAAATGTGAAAACAAGTTTTTATTCATAAATTTATAAATGTTTAGTAAATTATAAAAATATGTGAACCAACTATCATGAAATCCTTATTATTTACCATTACATAAAGTTTTAATCGATTGGCCTGTTCCACAATTTCATTGAAAGCAGTTTATCGGGTATGTCATGATGGTCTCTGGCATGTCCTTAGAGAATTCAATATAGAAGGGTGTATATAAGTCATCCAAGCCTTCTATGACCATGTCACCAGCACATTTCTCTTGAGCAACCAATTGGGGGATTTCTTCCAGATGACTATTGGCATCAGATAGGGATGCCTACTCTCTCCAACACTCTTCAACCTGATCTGAAAAGAATCATGCAGGAAATTCTCCACAACCACAGCTATTTATCAGGGGTAGATCTGGCGGCAACCTGTGTTTTGCAGATGATATTAACCTTATGATGGGCAATAATATTGAGCTGAAAGATTTAACAAACTTGTTGAAAGAGCCACCACATATGGAATGGAAGTCAACACAGAGAAATCCAAAGTAATGGTGAATAGAACAAGCAACACCATGGACAGCAAACCACTGAAGGAAGTGTCCAGCTTCAAATACTTGGGAGCAACCATGTCAAAAGATGGCACCTGCAACACACACAATCTCTTCAAATTGCTGGTCATATCCATCCTCCTTTACAAGTGTAAGACTTGGACACTCCTGATTGAAACAGGAAAAAAGAACCAGGCATTCAAGAACAAGTGCTTGAGAAAGCTCCTCTGCATCTCCTACTGAGAACACAAAACCAATGACTATGTACAGAGCAAAATTCTCATGGGTAGACAGGAATCTCTTCTCGTTATTATTAAACATTGGAAGATGGCATATTTGGCCATATCACATGAAATAACAGCATCTGCAAGACCATCATGCAAGGTCACTGTTGAAGGTGAAGACAAACAGGGACAGCAATGCAAGAGCTGCTCAGACATCATCAAAGAGTGGCAGTATAGGACAATACCAGAATTCCTGAGAGTCACCACCAACAGAACATCCTGGAGGAGGTTGTCTGTTTCTTCTACCCTTAGGTCCCCCTGATGATTGAAGCAGTCAAAGAACTGATGATGAATCAATTGGCAATTAGCCAATGTTTTGCCAACCATTCCAATAAACAATTTAATAAATAAATAGTGTAAGTAAACAATCTAATAAATAAATAGTCTTTATTATTGTTGTTGTCAATTCTAAAGAATAAAAAAATGTATAAATTCACTTTTTATTAAAATTCTAATCATCACTTTTTAAAACAATAAACATTGGTGAAGAGTAAAGGTAGTTAAAATAATAGTGGTGTCAAAGGAAAAACTGTCCTTTCGAAATATCATTTTTTTGCAGGAATGAAGGTTAAACTTTGCCAAAATGATTATAGATAAATTATTTATTTTTAAAAAACAATTTAAATAATAAATCACAACTATTTTTAAATTAGAATTAATAAACCAATTCTTAAGAAATATAAAAAAAAACTAAAGAAACAGATTTCTGTTTAAATTAAATAACAGTTCCATGATTATTACCTTTATGGTAGGTTCCAAGTTTTCCTCACTTAGATTTTCTGTTTCAGATATTTGAAGACCAGCTTTGGCAGCTCGTCTTCCTTGCTTTGCAATCTGAAACAGAGAAAATGGATTCATCAACAAGTGAAAAACAATTAAAAATGTACAGATAAATAATTTCTGTTTGATGAGGAGTTATCATTATTTTACATTATTTACAATCAGACTAATATCATCATCTTTGTTTTTTGACTATTATATCTCAACCATTGTTCCCTCTGGCATTCTTCAGATGCCTGTAGTGTCAATTCAGCTAACCTCCAAGGAATTTTGAATTGAACTCTTTATTCAATGAGGTGAAGGTAGATTGTTCTAATTCCACTGCCCATTGCTATGCCACCAAATTCACTGACCAATACTTTAATCCTCTAGGCCCTTGTCTTGTGGGACAATCCTGAAGCTAGAACTTGGAATCATAAATATTCTTCTTGCCTTCTCTGCTTCTGCTGCAGCTGTGTGAATTTGGTGCCATAGTAATTGTAGGTTCAATCCTTAGGCTGGGTAGTATATGGAAACAGTGGAAACAAAACAACAACCGAGCAGCACTAAAAAGACAATTAATCAAAGTAAGATATTCTTAGACATAGACAGCAGAATGAGAATAATCTTCAGTTGTTTGAAATTCCTCGAAGATGACCCTGATTGACAGACACCTGAAGAAGTCCAGAGAGAACAAAAACCAAAAAATGTGATAGTAACAACAAAGATGAGAACAGGTAAATAGTTCAAAATATGTTAAAACATAATAAAGACATGTAGAGCCATTTGAAGTGGTGTAATGGTTAGCAAACTTGACTTACTAGATCAATTACAACTGAGTAGTGAGTTCGATCTTCACTGGGTGCTTCCCACTTTTGCTTAAATCTGTTTCTTTAGGCTTTTTTTTATATTTCTTAAGAATTGGTTTATTAATTCTAATTTAAAAATAGTTGTGATTTATTATTTAAATTGTTTTTTAAAAATAAATAATTTATCTATAATCATTTTGGCAAAGTTTAATCTTCATTCCTACAAAAAAATGATGTTTTGAAAGGACAGTTTTCCTTTGACACCACTAAGCTATGCTTAGAAAATCATTTGTTCACTTCAATATGGTGTAATGGTTAACAAGTTTGTCTCCATAGATAAATTACAACTGAGTTGTACTCAGTTTGATACTCACTGGGTGCTCCTCAATTTCAGCCTTGTGCCACAATTAAGCTATGCTGAGAAAATCATAGTGCACTTTAACATGGTGTAATAGTTAGCAAGCTTGACTTACTACATCAACTACCTCTGAGCAATGAGTTCGATCCTCACTGGGTGCTTCCCACTTTCGGCATTGTGCAACATCTAAGCTATGCTTAGAAAATCATTTAGGGCATCTCAATGTGGTCTAAGGGTTAGCAAGTTTGTTGTAGTGAGTTCGATCCTCAATGGGTACCCCATACTTTTGACCTTGTACCATGTCTAAGCTACATTAAAAAAAAATCGCAATAATAAAAACATATAATTTTCATCTTCTATCAAAGAGAATACCATTTTATAAATATTTAGCATATGTTCATTGTAAAAAAAATGAAAGTGACAAATTACAAAAAATAAAAAAAATTAAGAGAAAGATAAAAATGGATTTTATTCATGAAGAAGGCCAGCGTAGAAAATTAAATGATGGGAAAGTAAATGACTACAATAAGAAGACACAAATTAGACATAAGGTAGCAGAGAAGATAACTAATGAGTCGCTAATGGATTGACTAGCAGGAGAGAATTAACTGAACAAACAGCAGCAAGATTTATATAGAAGTGATGTGAGAGAAAAGTAAATATACAAGTCAGACATAGAATTAGTAAGATAGGAAACAGAACTGTCTCAACTACGATTGAAAGCTTGAAGAACTAAAAATAACTTTTGACTATTGGTTGCTTTGGAAAATGAAGAAATTTTATAAATTTCTGGAGACATTAGAACATTAAAGTAAAACATATAGAAATATTGAAGATAGAAATTATTTGCCAAAAGAAGTTTCATTTGAAAATTATTACATTAATTTACATTTTAATATTTACACTATTTACATTGTTCAGACTGTTGTCCTCATCTTTATTGCGATATTCATGATGTTTTGGTCGTTGTACGCCCCAGCTTTCTTCAGGTAATATTTGTTGTAATTTCGAAGTGATGTTACTTTTTAATCATACCGATGTTGAATGTGCATTAAACTTAAATGAACTGCCATCATTGGTTAATTTAGTAAACAAAATGAGCTGAAACAAAGCAGCAGGACTAGATGGGATTGTAATAGAGATGTTGTTTGCCTTAGACAATGTTGGAATCAATATAATCAATGAAATAATAAATATATAACAGTGGTGAAATACTGGAAGACCTCAGAAGATCTATTTTCGTAGTCATGCCAAACAAACTAAGTGTGAACGTCACTGGACAATCAGCTGAAGGAGTTACATAACTAAACTTATTGTTAGAATTATAATAAGTCAAGCTCATAGCAGGATTAAACCAGAAATAGAGCAAAAATAGCGTGGTTTTGTTCAAGACGTCTGTGGTGGAGACATATTTCACTAAAGCAAGAGAAGGCGAATTGTCTGTACAAGTGCTTGTAGACATCATAGACGTGCGAGGTGAACTCCAGCAAATCAATATTGAAGTGACACAGTGCATGCATTATCAGTGAAAAAAAAGGTTAACACAAGCAAGAGATCTCGGTTTCTTGCCCAAGACCAAGGAAGGATAAAAAGAGCTGACTTTTTGTTTCAGAGGAGTTCTTTGAGACTGGTGAAGGTTATACCCATGTTCCAGAGAAAGAGCAATAGTACTGTTGTTTACGGTGTGCAGGAAACAGAGTCCTGAGTGAAACGTTGTTCCAGTTTCCATGTTAGCTGTCAGCAGAAACAGTTTCGAATGGAAATTTATTTTCCTACCACCCAATTTTCATTTAAATCTTACAACACCAAAACAAGAAATGCTATCTTTAAGAACATGAACAAAATGCTATCAGAGTGTGCAATGCAAATTCCTATACCAATGATTGATAGATTGCACAAAAGCATTTGATGAAGTACAATACAAGCACCACTTGTAATACTAGCAATGTGTAATTTATATAAGAAAGATATTAGAGCCATCTGTACCCTTACTGCAAACAAACTGCCAGCACATGGATAGAGAACAAATTCAGTAAATATACAGATAGGCCAGATAACATAAAAGAATGAGGGGGGAATTGCATTGCATTTTTATGCAATAAAGATGCAATGCATTATGGGACAGGGACGCAATGAATTATGGGATCACATGAAGACGCAAGGGATTATGGGTATATGGACAAATATAAAAGCAACCATTTTTTTCCCCAGTGGGGCTGTTCTTCGAGTGACGTTCATGGTTGGCGGCAAGAACAGTCTGTTAGTGTGATTTTGAGACAGAACTCAAGAAGGAATGACTCAAGGTTGAAATACCAGCTAGGAGAGCTTGAATTTACTCGCTGGTTGCTGTTTTCTTTATTCGCCTCAAGCTATTTCGGCCTATTGATTCTTCAAAATGGAAGGCAAGGTCTTTGACATCCATTTGATTCCAGAATTTAGCGGCGCCCCAACGGATATGCCCATTGTTGAATGGATAGAAAACGTGGACTGCATTGTGGAAGTGGGCGAGTGGTCATTCACCTAGCAAGTTGGTCAATAAAGTACAGGAGTACACAGTACCTGGCCACGTCTGGGATGCATACGATGAAGAACTAGCACGGTGGCAGCGAGACGGATGGCTACTGCCATATCCCGAGAAAGAGCTTGGCTCACCCAAGGGATTAATTCCCTTAATGGCGGTTGTACAAGAACACAAACAGAAGGTCTAGCCGGTACTTGACTATCGGGAGTTGAACGGCTTTGTAGACGCATTCACGGCTGACGCAGAGGTGTGTGCGCAGAAATTACGAGAATGGCGACAAGGAGCTGACGTATCACTGTTGGATTTGAGAAATGCGTACCTACAGATTCACATTGAAAATCGCTATGGCCGTTTCAAACAGTGGTCATTAAGGATAAGCGGTTTTGCCTTACGCGTTTGGGCTTTGGCCTGAATGTGGCACCACTTGTCATGAAGTCAGTGATCGACACGATAACGTGTCAGGATCAGGACATTAAGAGTGCCACGTCGGCATACGTCGACGATATCTTCATAAATGAAGGCCTAGTTTCTGCAGCGCATGTAAGACAGCATTTTGCAGATTACGGGCTAGTCTGTAAAGATTAAGAGACAGAACTAAGGTCCTGGGTCTGCAAGTCTGGGAAGAAAGCAACTCCCTTCGATGAAAGCGGGGAGGTCAGGTTCCAGAAATTGCTCAAATGGTGACCCCGCTTGACGTATTTTCCTTTGTGTGGGAAACTCGTGGGTCATTTCCTGTGTGCGGTTGGCTTAGGGTGGCAACTGCATTTATTAAGCGTTATGCAAGTACACTAACCAAAGGATGGGATGACGAGATAAAGGATGCCCCTCTTGGACGTATGCTGGAGGAAACAGTGGCCAGAGTGCGGGAATCAGATCCTGTCGGTGGAGACTGGTGTGTGAACGGCAATGAAATGACAGTTTGGGAGGATGCAAGCTCTGTGGCTACGGGAGTAGCACTAGAGGTGAATGGGAGCATTGTGGAAGATGCTTGCTGGTTGCGTCCAACCAATGATGCCTAACACATTAATCTTGCTGAGCTTGATGCGGTGATCAAGGGCGTGAATCTTGCCCTGCAGTGGCAGGCACCAGTTATGCATGTGGTCACCGATTCAGTATGTGTGCATCGGTGGGTGTCTGACACCCTGACAGAAAAGACGCGCGTGAACACGAAGGTGGCGGGTGAAATGCTGATGAGGCGGTGCTTAGAGACACTGCGAGCTTTGGTGGAGGAGTACACACTGACTATGACTGTGACGTTGGTAAAAATCTTGTCAGAACCACGCTGACAGCCTCACCAGAGTGCCGCAATGCTGGTTGGAGATGCACAAGAAAGGAGGAGAACCGGTGCAAGTGAGTTGTGCCACTGCAACAAGCCAGTTAAACAAACGTCAGGTGACCCACATCCACCAGCAGAGTGGGCACCCAGGTGTTAAAAGAACAATGTACTTTGCTAGGACCGTAGATTCAACGGTGTCTAAGGAACTGATAAAATCTGTCGTTAGAACCTGTGAAGCCTGCCAATCGATCGCTCCAGCACCAGTGCATTGGAAAAAAGGAAATTTGAGTGTGAGAAGAAACTGGAGCAGGTTAGCAATGGACATGACCCATTACAATGGTAGCCATTTTCTTACGCTCATTGACTGTGGTCCCTCCCGTTTTGCAGTATGGCGGCCACTGAGATGGCAAGACTCTGCTGGTGTCATTCGTCAGCTGGAGACAGTCTTCTACAAACGAGGCCTGCCGACTGAAATACTGACTGACAATGACACCACGTTCACTTGCAGACAATTTAAGGAATTTGTAAGCAGCTGGGGCGTGCATTTGAGGTTCCGGTGCACTTACGTGCCGTCTGGAAATGGCATTGTGCAACGCAACCACAGAAGCATCAAAACCATAGCGGCCAGGAAAAATTGTTCAGTCTTGGAAGCGGTTTACTGGCATAACGTCACACCTAAGGACAACCTTTCACCTTCCATGGCACCAGCTGATGTACTGCACACATACCACGTCCGGGTGAGAGGCATCGACGCGATGCCCCCGCCTGAATCACAAATAACCGAAGGGGAATACAAGAAAGGGGACATTGTCTGGGTTAAGACACCACGTGCTAAATGCACAACCAAATTTGAAACTGGACGTGTAACTGAGGTGGTGAGTCAGCAGTCAGTGTGGGTCGATGGAACGCCTCGTCATGTTAGAGACCTGCACCCTTTTTTGGGCTCAAATCCCACAATTGACGAAGAAGACATGGAGGATAGTGAACAGCCAATATACATAGAGTTGGATTCAACAACCAATCACTCCGATAGCGGTAGTTTACCAATAGATCGAGACGTGTCTAATGAGAGCTCCTCTGATGAAGAAGTTCAACCAATCCCCCTTCAGAGGAGCACCCAGAACAAAAGACTGTATCCGCACTGTCATCTGTGTGATCAGGAGATCAGGGGGGAGTGTGGCGGACATGAGACAGAAACTGGGACGAGCACAACTGGTCACAACTTGCCTTGTCCCTGCCAAAAAAGAGCCCGTATTTGCTTAGCATGTAAAGCTACTGCAGTTGAAATGAGGGAGAAAAAAGCACTTACCGCTCTGCCGTAATCCGTCCTCGGTCAGATAACGTAAAAGAATGAGAGGGGACTTGCATTGTATTTTTATGCAATAAAGATGCAATGCATTATGGGACAGGAACGCAATGAATTATGGGATCACATGAAGACGCAAGGGATTATGGGTATATGGACAAATATAAAAGCAACCACTTTTTTCCCAGTGGGGAAGTTCTTCGAGTGACGTTCATGGTTGGCGGCAAGAACAGTCTGTTAGTGTGATTTTGAGACAGAACTCAAGAAGGAACGACTCAAAGTTGAAATACCAGCTAGGAGAGCTTGAATTTACTCGCTGGTTGCTGTTTTCTTTATTCTTAAACAAAGTAGTAAAGGGATGCTAGAAGAAAAAAACTATTAACTGTGTAACAATATGATTTCTCACACATCTTTAGAAGATAAGGAAATAAATTCTTTCCTTTTAAGTCCACTTAGTTTTGTAGGAATTTTGACTCCGGTCCATCTTTGAGTAAAATTAAGTGTCAGTGTTTTGGGGGATTCATGTCTACAGCTGCTTTTGAATTGGGAAACAAAGATTTTATCAATGATTTTAGATTGTCATAAAAGTATTCTTTCAAAGAGTTGACCACCTATGTAGATTTGGAGTGGTCTCAACACTTCTGGATGGGGGGATTGAACCCCAGTATTATCCATACAAGCAGAGAGAGACAGGAAATCAGGAGAAAAGTGGGTCCAGCCATGAGAGGAGTAGGTAGGAGACTAGAAGAATTGAAGCAGCCTAGTGACCAGTGACAGAAGGACTGGTAGTGAGAAATCAGGAGTCACCGAGCCCAGAGGCTAATGAAGATAGCAGTTCAGCCGAAGGGAAAGATAGCCGGCTAAGTAAGAAATTGTATTGTTGCTACGTCCCAACCAGAGAGTCTTGACAAACAATTGTCTCCATTTTTGTTGAAAGCGATCATGGCTGAGAAGACAAACTTGTGCACATAGCGAGTTGGGTGTACATGCCAATACACACAACATTGGACGTCATCACAACTGTAAGATAACTGAATGCTTGGTTATTACCAAAAGAGACAACTCAAGATGTAAGCTACATAATGGAGATGTCAAAATCAAGCAGATACAGAAATGTAATTATCTGAGTAGTGTAGTAACAGACAATAGAAAACGTGACAGAAATCTGACAATGCATTAGAATAGTAGTGAAAGATGCTTTTTAGAAAGAAAGTATTAAGAGATATGAAAATTTTGTTAGAAACAAAAAAAACAAAAGAGTGCTGAACTGCTATATAATATTTAATCTCCTATATAACAGTAAATGCTGGACAATGTACTCACAATGTCAGAGAGGTAATTTTTTAAATAGATGATAAGAATACCATGGGTTGAACATATCAATAACAAGGAAGTGTTAATAATTGGTTGATTCATTCATCCCTTTTTCTATGGCTTATCAACCTATTGCAGGTTATTTAAAGTCAGAAAATATTTTTAGATTGTAAGAATATTTTTTTGAGATAATAATGATTTAGTGATACACATCTTACTAATTACTCCATAGCTGGAGGAGAAAAGGTGGAATCATACTTTTCCCAAGGCATAAGTGAATATAACAAACCCAACTGGAAGTGGAACTCAGGTATTTGATTAACAATTCTGAGCCATTATCCATTGCACCACCTGCACATCCAAGCTTCCAGCACCTGGTATTCCCAAGTGGTCACCCATTTAAGTACTGACCAAGCTCGAAATTGCTTAACTTCAGTGATAGTATGGGAACTGGTGTTTCAATGTGATGTGGCCATAAGCCTAAGGAAGTTTTAAGGAAAATATGAACAAGACTTACAACTAGAAATTTTTAGGGTACATAATGAGGAAAGTAGGCATAGGGAATTTAACACTCATAGGACGTAATGAAGGCAATTAAGATGGGGGAAAAACAATTAATCTACTTGTTAATGTTAAGTCTTAACAAGTTTGTACGAATGGCTGACACAACAAAAACAAAGAAGAGTTATAAAAGTTCAAAATTAAAAATAGTGCAAGAAAAGCAGGAAGTCATGGAGAGCCATGACCATTCACGTCCTGAAGGGGCACGTTATATAAAAGTAATTACGTCTACAGTTAAATTAATCCTTTCTTTTCATCTTGCATTGATGACATAGTAACTTTTTTTTTTTGCAATGTATAATTTTGGAGGGACTTTTTTTGTATAGTCTTTCTTTATCAAAATTAAAAATTATAATCGCTACTAAATAATTCCTTTAACTTTTGTGTAAAAATGACATACGAATGTTTTAATTATATTTTTGATACTGACTAGAAACAATTGTTAAGTTTAAACAAAATAATCCAAAAATAACAAATTTATGAAGTTTTTGTTTTCCTTTTTGCTTTCTGAACACTTCTTAAAAATTAAAGTAAGAAATGAAAATTGTTGTTTTACTTAAAATTTGCTTATTAAAGCATGCACACATATGATAGATATACATTATATAAATCATTAAATTATCCCATAAAAATCCGATTAAATGATAAATATCTTACTCTGGCTTTCGTCTCGCCGATGTCTAAGTCATCCATGTTGTTATGGTTGCCTCGGTCGTTGCTGGGGATAATCAAGGGAGATAAGTCTTCTTTACTGAATTATCTTTTTCACTAAATCTATGAAAATCTCTGCATTTATTTTATTACACAAATATAATCCATTAATAAAGTAGAAAAATGCAAATTACTTTTCCAGCAGAGAACTTTAATTAAAAAAAGAAAAACTATGGTGTTAAATAAATACGAGGTCAGTCTGCATAGAATTCCGTCTTTTAGCAATTAATTAAATTGTAAAATATGTAAATGTTTTGTTTTAAAATGAAATTTATTAAATATTTTTGTAGCTTTCTGAGGTGATAATTTTGGTAAATGTATTCTTCTGTATTCCTTACCACAGATAAATAAATAAATAACATACTATAAATCACAAAGGTCCTCCAATGAAGCCTAACTTAGAATGCAAAGAAATTTGGTAGCAAAATTATATCTTGTGTACAAAGTTTATTGAGTCAGTAGCCAGAGAAATTACTCTTCTTTTGTGCCTTAAACAATCAGGATGTGGGCAATAATGATGCTCTACAACTTCCTGTCCTTTATAGCTCCAAGGAATGTTTAATCCTACCTGTTTGTCCTCACACTGCTGTAATGGAAAAGAGCTATGGATGAAAGGTTTATTCTCCCATTTATATTTCCCCCTTTCAGGGGCATTATTAAATCCGTGATATAAATAATTCTAAATCTGTTGGGGAGGCAGATTTAGCCTCTGCCCAGGTCATGAGGGTCCCAGGCTAAAAAACACAACCTTGCAGTTGCTGTAAACAAAACTGAAATTGACTGCTGCTATTGTCACTGTATGGAGTGATGTCACTAAATGGCCACCGTGTGACCCATGTGACTTATTTTCACCAAAGGGAGATAATCACATTCTGTATCCCCATACTACCATTCATGTAAACTTGTTAGAAAGGTCACATTATTTCACTCTGCTCCTCCTGTCTTCAGTATATCCTGTGAGCATTAAATTGTCCAGGTCTTCTTTACTCTTCATCTGTCACATAAATGTCAGCTGTCTCCATCTGATTTTAGTATAAGTGTCCTTTTCATTCCCATTTTCTTAAGAAATTCCTTGTTGCTGATATGTTCAGTCTATGATATACTTAATATCCATCAGCAGAACCACTTCTCTGTCACTTCACATCCCTTCTTCAACTGTAAATAAATTATCCACAGTTCACTGGCATATCAGATGCCATATGATATTGCAATTCAGCATTTTTTTCTTTGTTTCTAAAAAAACTTTCTGTCTCTTAATATTTTGTTTAGTTTCTGAAAGATATATTTTCTATTCCAGAGCACCTCATGATTTTGTCATAATTTCCACCATCTGTTACTACCAAAATGGAAAAACCTGATGTCTTCATTTTGAAGCTCACACATTGGGTTATCTCTCTTGCTGATAATCATACATTCTGTCTTCTCACAGTTAATAATTAGTCCTTTCTTCTTGCTTTCCTTTCTTGTCTCAGTGTAGAGAATTTATTTTATTTTATATTTAAAAAAAAAAGATTCGTTTTAATCACTTCACCCCCAAGCAAAGCAATAAAGCTACTCAGATGCAAGGGGGTTACTGAGTGTGAGAGAATATGAGAAAAAAAAAAACATTAAAAAAGAAGATAATGAACAATAAATTTAAATTTTTGAACAGAGAATTAAAAGACAGAAGATAATGATTGACATCGCATTTAAATTTTTTGAAGATAAAATTGACTGGAGCCTGTTAATCCTATGTCAAGAAGCCTTTTGAAATTTAGTTTCACAATCTGAGAAGTGCAAGAGAAGAACTATATATATATATATATATATATATATATATACAATATTAAATTTTTTTATATAATTTATATATATATATATATATATGTCTGATGAAAAGACCTTGGATCCCTTATAAAATAAAAAATAAAATATAAGAACAGAAGAGATTTGATTATTTCGATTCCAATGTAATAAAATATAACCATGGAATATTAGTGTTTTTTTAGCCTTTTATATTATTGTCTGGGGATGACAATATATATATATATATATATATATACATGGAAAAAAACTCTTGAATAATACATGTTTCATACATCTCTGGAAAAGAAACTATATTCTTGAGACTTAACTAAAAAGTATCAGACATGGCTAATAATGGTTTTAACAAATGCTGATACAATGTCTGTTATTTAAAAACAATGATGATAAAAAATAAAGGCAAATGTGATGATTGGGTCATTTCAGTTTTGCTTTTTTTAGATACACTGCCTGTGTGAGCTCCAGATGCCAATTCAGGCAATCCCTAGCTAGAGGTGCATGCGTGTGTGTGTGTCTGTCTGTGGATGACAATATATATATATATATATATATATATATATATATGTGAATAATATGTGTTTCATCTCTGAAAGGAATTCGTTAGTATGTATGTCTGTTATTTAAAAACAATGTGATAAAAATAAAGGCAAATGGTGTCATTTTCAGTTTTGCTTTTACAATTTTCAAAAACTTTAAAATCTCCACTTCCCATTTTTTTTATAAAACACCACTGTGTGTGTGTGTGTATATGTGTATATATATATATATATATATATATATATATATATATATATTATTATTTTCCAAAATTTTAAAAATATATAATCAGTTTGTTATATTTGTGTGATCACAAAAGCGTGAGTGTGTGTACAGGTGTGTATGTATGTTTTTGCGTAAGTATGATGGTGTCACAACGACAATTTTTCCCTCCCACTTCCATAAAAACACCAATATACACAACTCTATAAACCAAAATTTTAAAAATTAATCAGGGTCACAAACTCACATCAATCCAACTAAATATATATATATATATATATATATATATATATATATATATATATATATATAGAGAGAGAGAGAGAGAGAGACAGACAGACAGACAGAGAGAGAGACAGACAAACAGACAGACAGAGACAGAGAGGTGTATTTTGTAACATGAATTGAAAAAGGAGTTATGACACAATAATTTGAATGTTTAAATACTTTATCAAGATAGAACTAGAAATTTAATTCATTGTGTTTACCTCTTTGCAGAAATCATGCTTGAGAAAACAAGCTGTCAGTTGACCTGGAAAACAAAAAAATGCGATTAATATCATTTTAAATCAATAAACCTATGAAAATTGTTAGTTTCTCTTGAAATACACCTGTCACCTTCCTCTTCTCAAATGACTGACTTAAATCTTATAGTTTCATTTAACAATAGCAAAGGACTCTGACTATGAGCCCACAGGGCAGAGCCTCTATGATGTTTCTTTGCCTTCTAATGTACAGATTTATCCTATTTCAGGGCCTACAGTAACAATGAATATGAAAAGGCCTTGTTTCAGTGTATTGTCTAGGATACATTAACTGATACTAACAGAAAAAGAATGAAAAGTAACCTATGACAATTGAGATGAGGTGTTGTCAAAGTGAAAAGGAGAATTTATTTATCATCTGTTTATATTTCCAAGATGAGGTATTGCAACTATTTACACTATTTAGATTGTTTGGACTATTTTCCTAATCTTTATTGTCATAATCACAACATTTCGGCTGTTGTATGCTCTGGCCTTCTTCAGGTGATATATGTTGGAACTTTGAATTGAAACCTTTATTTTGTCCACTGGAGTAGGTTGTGCTAGTTTCCTGTGTCATGCCTTTTCTGGATATCTCATTTTCAATTATGTCCCTTTAGTAACTCAACACTCCAAGTTTTTTTCACCTCTGCTTGGCCAGCAATATTCTAAGCATGGACAAATGGTAAACTTATAGATAAGTAAAATAGATTCTGGAGAGAAAAATTGTCTAGCATGACACAGTGAACCAACCTTCTTGGCAGCCGATCAGGCAATGGATTTGTTGTTGTATGTTAATATATAGGACTATTTATAACAACATTTATATTTATTTTTGTGTAATGATGTACAGTGTAACCCGGATATAAGAGAGTTGTCGGGACCGGAGAAGAAGTCTCTTATATCCGGGTTTCTCTTATATCCGGGTTTGGTCTAATTTATATACATTAACACAGGCTCTAATTTGGGACCAGAGAAAATCTCTCTTATATCCGGGTTTCTCTTATATCCGGGTCTCTTATATCCGGGTTACACTGTACATGCATAGAGGTTACTATTTTGTTGGTGTTATGTCCCTTTGACTGAATTAAAGTTTTTACTGATGGAATTGAAATATTTTTATCCGAGCTCATGTTCAATGAATTATAAAGCTGAGAAATACTGAATAAACCTTTAGCTTTAGAAGAGTATTTCAAAGAGAAAAGTTCTTGTTGCTTGTTTGGAAATGTTCTGTATGTTTGTAATGTAGTTTGGAAAATTTCATACATACATGTATGCGTGAATATATATTTAACATCTGACCACACATGGTCAAGATGGAGACCTTTAAGGTTACATCTTTGCAGGAAAAGAGAAGAGGAGAGAGTGGGCAAGCTTGCATCTGCTATTTATAATTAATGTAATCACGTGACAGGCTCCCAGAAAAATGGCAGGAAACTTGACTTAGTCACATGCTGGAAAAATATTTGTATGTAGGTGGATTGCAACGCCCACTTGTGTGTTTATTGACCAATTAGAAGTTGATATTTCCTGAAAATCTGTATGAAGCTGGGTAAGCTTCTGATCCTCTTTTTTGTACAGATTTGTACAAAATTCAACATTGATAAGAAAGTGTTAGTGGGATGCTAAAGATTCAACATAGTCTTTCCACTTCATTTCAGTTGAGAATCTTAACCTGAAAAGGCACAATGAGTCACTCTCTTGGGGGTTAGCATCAGCCAGGCTGATGGAAGGTAGAAAGAGGTATGCAAACAAAAAGACAACTGGGCAGGAGATTATTCTTACAACTTTAATTAACTCTAGATTTTTTTTCATGGGAATTTGTTATTTTTTACACAGACTCCACTGTTTATATTAGGTTGAATCATAGGAAATCTTGTATTTTGATGAATGACAAAAAACACTTTCATTTAATCAATATGCAATTTTATTTAATCAGAATATCTGTTTTTGTTCTACAGTTTTCTACAAAAGTTGTTTATCTCTTTTTTAAAAAAGTTCTTAGTCTTTTGACTAAATATTCCAACTGGGATTTGTTGAGTACGACTCAGACTTATGTGAGAACTACCGACCTTCCAATAGTAGCAATCACTACTAGATTGACTTGCGATGATCGTGCATATAACTGTTACCTTATTTCTTATTGTATTGGTTTTTACAATAAACCTTTACTTATTTATCCACCGTGTTTGTCAAGTATATATTCCTATTAGCACGGAATATAACAGTTTGTATTGTAAATTGTTGCTTTTTTTTGAGCCTTTTAGGCTCAATTGGTTGATACCGCCAAAATTGTTTGATTAGTTGTGGATTCATTTTTTTTAATACTTGGAGAAGTATCTGACTTCCAAAAACCTGTGATCCTTATAAGAGATAACAATATATTTTCTGACCAATCCAGAGAGCTGGAAATATATAAAAAGGAATTTGACCACCCTTGCCCTGACCATGGTACCATAAAGTTGGGGTGGGGGATAACACTCACTACTTGTTGGACCTTTGCTTCCAAAAACCAACTCCCAAACCTTTGATTCTTATCAGAGATAAGAATATATTTTCTGACGAATGAGATGGCTGGGAAAGTGTATAGCAGAGGGAAAAGTTCCCGATATTTCTGAGCCTTCTAATCTCGATAAATACAGAGAATATATGCCGCTTTAGCAGTGAGTAATTGACATCATCTGTGATAACATCAGGTCGGTGACAGTAACACCAGTCTTCTCTGAAATCTGTTTCAAGGAAGAAATCTACATGCCGGGCTCTAAAGACAGAACATTGGCCCTAAAAACTAATCGAGATCTGCTTCTTTGCACCTAGAAATTCCTGTCATCAGCCTACGAACACACTCAACTACAAACTATGGATTTCCCCACTGTTTCCTCCTCAACATAAGCTCTAAAGAAATCTATGTGAGTGTTAACCCCTTAAGAACAATTTACTTGCCCAGAGAAATAGTTTGAGCAAGCCTTTATATGAACACTTTTTCTTCCCCCTTTCTTTCTCTCATTTGTGCATATCCCTTTACCTTTCTTTTTGTGTATGCAAATCAACATTTTCTTCTATTGTTACAATCCTAGTAGGAGTTTGAGTTTTTTATCTTCTGCCTAAAAGAGAGAATTGTCCACTCTAAACTTTCAAGCTGTTGTTACTTTTTTTATCGATTCTGTCAACTTTTTAACCGTAACCCTTTCATGTGGAAAAGCCAGGACAAATTTTCCACAGTGGAGAGATTCAAGGTGGATTTCTACTTCAGAACTGAAAGTCCTTTCTGTGCCTTCCTGAGAAGAATCTAAGCTGAAAGAACTCACTGGATAACTTTGTGCCAAAATACTTCCAAAGGCCCTCAAGAAAACAACTTGAAAACACAAAACCCCTTCGAGCTGAGACGTCCCGCTTGAGTCTTTTAAGAACGAAGGTGGGTGCATTTTGAAATTTCTGCCTTGTGCAATTTTGTTATTGCTTACTCCAAGTTTCTCTATTTTTAGGGGGTTTTTTTGTCTTTGAATCTGTGTCTTTATCAAACAAATTGTAACACATTTTTTCTCGTATCTCTGGGTAATTATTATCTTGTTGAAATAGACATGCAAAAGGAAATTTTTGTGCAACCCTTGAATTGTACCTTTTCTTATTTGTAAATTATAAAATAAATGTTTTTTCCTAAAAATTTTACTCAGTGGTCATCTTGTTTTTTTAATTTTTTGCACTTATTATCGTGATTTGCTGTTTTTTCCAACTAAGTTTGATGGAATGTTATTAGACAAACCCCCTAAAAATTTAAATTTTAATTCAAGTGCATTCATGTGACAATATTAATTTAAAACCAAATATAGTAATATATTTAAAATGCATATTGCAATATGTTGCGGAGGTGAAAAAAAAGTTTAAAAAATTAATCAGAAAGCTATTTTTAGTCATATGAGGTTGGCTGCGTGTATAAAATTTCACTTCTCCACAGGCATTTAGATGCATGGCACAAGGCTCATAAATGATGTAAAACAACAACAAAATATTTATATAAGAATAATGCAAATTATTAAGAATAAATGAGAGGTGAGAAAAATATCAAGGCTCTGTGATCCACTTTTTGCACAGAATTGCATAAAAATTGACATTGATAGAAAAGTGGTAGCAGGATGCTAAAGATATATGTTCAAAAAAGTGTCTATATTCTCCCAAACATTATTAGCCTTGAACTTTAAAAAAAAAAATTCTATAAAATTCCTCATCCACGTGTGACCATTTTCATATGAACAATTCTCTTTATTCATTTCTTGACTTTTAGTCTTGCCTAAATGCTTCTATATTAGTACAGGCCCCCATCATTGGGTCAAGAAAATTCTGATTATGGTTGACAACTAAATGCTGAAACCCAAGCGTAGCTAACCCAATGTAAGCGGCCCATCCATAACACAAGTAGCAACACATTGTTGCACAATTGGAAGTAAAGTTTCCATACTTCTGTCAGCAACATGCACCAGGTAGTAGCCCTTTTTTTAAAATCAATATCGTTGTAGTGATAGTGTTACCAATATTTAACTTTGGCTAGGAAAGGTGGGATTAAGTACAATGCGTGGACACAATGCAATTTATATTTGACGTAAATAGCACATAGTATAAAATACAAAACTGAACGGAATGATTTCAAAACATAACAATTGAATTTATTAATATTTGATATACATGCATGCGAACTGAAAAGGTAGGACAGAGTCATGTCCCTTTGATTAGGTAATAGTTGTACCTGAGTTCATATTAAGAGGAAGTAATATTAAACTGTAATTTAGAAGAATAAAGTTTCTTTAGCTGAGCATGTTTGGAATTGGGAGTTGTAAAGTTGGTAAAAGTTCAGAAAAGATTTCAGAGTTCGTACTTGCATGAATGTTGGTAATGGTCTTTAATGTCTGACCGCAATGGTTAAGACAGGAGTTCTTGAAAATTACATCTTGGTACTTGGTAGCAAGGAATGAGACGTGCACGAGAAAGATGAATGAAAAGAAACTACTAAAGGAGCTTACACGTGTTCTGTTTATATAATGGTCATGTACCACGTGGGAGGCTCCCAGCATATTGAGCGGGAAAACAGATTGGTTGCGTGCAGGCAGTTTGATTGGCCGGAACTGACCAATCAGCAAGCTAGATTGAAGTTGATTGACCAATGAATACTTGTTATATATTTGTAAGATTGTGATGGTGAAAATTATAACAGGAATAGTGCATTTCCTAGCAGGGGTTAACTAGCTTTTTGTGAGTCCACATCGTAAAGTCCAAAAATCCATTCTTGATGTACTACTCTTCCAATATTGTTCTTTCTGTTAAACATCTCAGATTCATCAATAAAATCAATTCAACAATTTATCTTGTCGTAAAGGAAGACGAGATGCGTCTACTCTACTTCTCTCTAAAACAACATTTTGCCCTAAAGTGTTGCATCTGGTACAAGAACTTGGAGTTGCTAGGAAAGTAAATTTTTTATAAATGATGTGAACTAATTTTTAGTGTACAAATTCTTACTGATTTAATAAAAGCTTCTCCTCCACTCGAAATACTCTGGCAATGAGTCTGCATCAAGGTCTTGGGCTAAGTACAGGGTGGTCCGAAAGTCTTGTTACCCCATACATAACAGTTTTCTATTTCGGGTGGTTGAAAGAGGCTGCCTGCAAGTGTATGGACACATGATCGTGTGCATTCTAACAAAAGCATGGAGGATGTGTGACAACTTCACTGCAAGATTCGGCAAACTAGCTCCTCGAAAGAGGACGATGCTAGTAGGGGTGACAAGACTTTAGGACCACCCTGTACAATAGTACTAGAAATGTGCAAAGAATGCACAGTGGTACCCAGTCTGCTAACAAGTAAGATTCTTGCTGTCTGATGTTTATGCAAGGTTTTACTTTTATTGTGTTGGAACAACTCTGTACTTTATGATGGTTGGTAAAGTCAAGGAACATAGATTTTTGAGAGGTACATGCACTACTAAAGCTGGTTGAGTGTCAGTGAAAGAAAGTTGAAGAAATTTGTGAACTTATTCTGAATGTTTTTTTTTTTACATAACTGGGGTATTAAATGTCTCAGTGACAAATTATCGAGAGCAGTGAACTTTCGCGCATTAACCGGGACCCAAATAAAATTATCAATAAAGGGTAGATTTCCGCCAATTTTTAATGCTATTTTTGGAATAATCAGGCGATTTTACATCAGGAATAATTTTTTTTTTAAATTGTCACTGGGGCATTATGTGCAAATTTACCCTTTTTTAAAATTTTAAAACTTTTTTTTCTTAAATAATTCGTAATGAATTTAATTTTCGTGATTATTGCACAGTGTTTTCTTCTTTTAGTATTTTGAAATTTTCTGTAAAGTACGAAATAATTTTTATTCTGAATAAAAAAATATGATTATGAATAATCCATGAGATTGAAAAAGCATCGTGTGTCTCAATTTCACTAAAAAAATGTAAAGTAAAGGATGGGTACAAAAAATAAAAATGCAATTATTATATAAAAATTTAATAAGACATTTTTATTTAGTTTTATTAATAAAAAAAAACAAAAAAAAATTGTTACAACACTTTTCTATCACTGAATTCAAACTTTGATTGTTTGTCGTATTTGACAATAGTTCGAATAGAATGATAATTTATCATCTCCGAAATTGAAAAAGATATTTCTCTGAGAAAACTTTAGCTAACAATTCTAAAGAAAAATTGTAAAAGTACTAGACTGTATGTTACTTTACTTCTGTTTGAAAAGGGGGTCAGGTCAATATTAGCCAATCAGATTACGCTAATGTATTTGTCACGCTTTCTCATTCTCACACAGAAAAAAAAACAACAACATGGCTTCTGTCTTAAGGGTTGCTGTCTATAGTCATGTAAGTTTAATATTCATATTCCACGCTTTATTTTATTGTGCAAATTATCAGTTATCGTCTTTGAAAGGATTTATAGATATCTGTTTAACCTATTTTTTTTTTGTAATTGTATCATTTCATAGTTGTTAAATAATTCACTGATCCAGATGTAACAGCCAATATAAGTTATATAAGGAAAGGAGATTTTACTTGCTCTTACATTTAATTTTACGCATTAACGATTTTCAAAGGTTTTATTATAAAAACCTGCCTTTTAATTATCGATTTGAAAAAGATTGCAGAACAGATTTTTAAAAGTTGTATTTCATTAGTAGGTGATTGAAGGCTACTAGAAGGATTTTCTTTTCCTCGGGACAACATGAATACTAATAATACTACTACTCATCATGAATATTTTGGAATTAAATCGACAGTATTCTCTTTTCTACTGATTAAAAACTACAATTTATAATTTATGATATTGGACAGAAACATATTGCTATTTATGTTCACAGGTTGTCTGATCGTTTATTTCAAATTAACTCTTGAATAAATGAGAATCACTAAAAAAAAACTGTTTCTACAATTTTCGGTCTTTTTTCTCTGACAAAACATTGACTTTTTTTTTTTTTTTCAGAATGTATTTGTAGTGAAATAATTTCCCTTTTCTCTCATAATGCAACTTAATTTAAGAAATTTGATTGCAGCATTTATTTTTTTAAAACTTTTACAAGAGATAAATAATGTAGCTAAAAAAAAAACAATTTTCTGGGAGAAAAAAAAGCGATTGCGAAAAAAATCTGTTTATGTTCTTAAATCTGTATTTGAAAAAACGAATTTTTTGTGTCTATTTCATTTTGCAAAAAAAAAAAAATACCTTAGGATGTCCTTCATAAAAATATTTATGTAACAATAAAAAAAGTTACGCATACTGTTACGTTACGTTACTGTCTTTCTCTCTAAGACTTTTTTTTTTTTAGCAGTCAGCGCACGTGTCTTTGAAAGGCATTCACCACAAACGGAATTTCAGAAGCTTGCCATGCACGTTTCTGTTTTTTCTTTTCAAACATTGACTGATTCTCTGTGACATTTCACTACCTTTTTTTTTTTTTTTTTTTTTTTAAAAAAAAATGTCCCCTGACAATAGAAACACGTCATCATATCACAAAAATGTTTCTATATATTATTCTTTCTGCTTAAGTTTTAGTGTTTTTAGATATCATTCTCAATAATTGTGTAATAATGTGTACCAGATGAAAGTCAAAGTTTTTAACATTTGTTTTTTTTTTTTCCCCCCCTTTCTTCACATGATCTGGGGGTCATTTCAAAACAACTTTACAGTAAGTGTTAATAAAAGATCTCATAGTGTAGAAAGACTGTGTATGAGATCTTTTAGATTTTTCATTTTGTCACTTTAGCTTTTTCTTTTTTTTTTTTATTTTTGTTACCTGAAGGAAATTTTGTTTATCTTATTATCGTGAACTAAAATTATTTTTCCCTAACTTGCAATGTTATTAGTTGAGGATTGGAATTAAATTTGTTGACGTATTGAAAAGGAACTTGCTTAAAATTTTAAAATGATAGCTTGGATTTCGACAATACATTCATTGGAATTAGAAATGCTAAGTGTTCCGTTATTTTTTTTTTTTTTTTTTTTTAAGAAACTGATAAAAACATAAATGAAAAAATTTCTATGTACGAAAAGATTTTGCAAACACCAAGTATGTTTTTTTTTTTTTTTTTTTTTTTTTTTTGCCTCTAACGAAAGCTCCACGTTATTGATGACAATATCATTTGTCACGAAAAGCAGGACCAATTTTATCAAAATTACCTATATGGACGGTTATTTTAATTTCCATTTCAGCTGTTTTTAAATTTTAAAATAATGTTTCAATTTCGTGTTTAAAGGATCAGTTTTTGTGTTCACCTAATTTCTGTTGCACGTGTTTTTAAGTAAGAAGACTAAGAAGAGCTTTCTTTAATCAAATTGTGAAATCTTAAAGATTGTGCCTGTCTTGATGTTATTTTTTTTCCTGAAGTGAAATGAAATCCATACTGATTCTACCCAGGAAAGGTTCGGTAGCAAGTCTACTTCAATGACAATTTGTTGATTAAACTGTCAGATGATAATGGGAACCATTCAGTACAATTTACAAGAACAAAAATTTTAGATAATTTCTTTCAAGTTCATGATTGAAGGTGTTTTATAATTGAAGTGTGATTTGTATTGAAATGTGTTGCTAATTCTCAGGCGGTTTGCTTAGAACTTTTCAGTAATGGTTCTCAGAAGTTCAATATTGACAGAACTTGGTCCTTTAGATTTTTGAGGGGAATATTCGAGAAATTCAAAATCAATCAAGGGCAAACTATCATTGGCATGTCAGGACACTTTCATTTCCATTGAGAGAATTGCTGCTTTCTTTTGTTACTGAAGAGACGTCTGATGAAGAGCCTTTTTTTTTTTTTTTTTTTTTTTTTTTAAGTCTAAAACTAAAAATTTATGATGAAAAATAAACTTCTAATTTTAAAGAGAAATAAATTTACTTCATTTTAACTAACACCAGTCTTCATTCTTTTTCTTTCATGTGCTGTGTCCATTCAGGACGTAGGCGATCATGACCCTCCCTATCCTCCTGTTCCTTGTAGTTCTAAATTATCTTTTTGCTATTATTCCCAAACCCTGTTCTTTTACTCAAACAAACCCGTCAAGTATGTTATGCGCTGTTTTCCTCTGTCCTAATGACTATCAGATTTTCCAATCCCTCTTTCCTCATTATGTGCCCAAGAAATTTCAACTGCCTCTTCCTGATGTTATGTTTCTTTTTTTCTTTGTCCTTCTTAACCGTGAACGTGTCTTATAACTTTAACGTTATTTATCAATCAGCCTTTAATATTAAGAGTCAAGTTTCTATAGTCTCTAATTAATTACATAATAAAAAAGTCATTATTTGCTCCATTGGACAAAAAAAAAATAATCCAGGGAAAGATTTTTAGTTTTAAGTGAATAATGAGTAAACAATTTCTGCAGGTTGGATTAGCATTGTCGATAATATTTTTTTCACTATTAATTGGAAATTTTGCTTCTTTTTATTTATTTGCTTTTTCTTCATAATTATTGTTACTTCATTTTTAAATTTTATGAAGCACTGTTGACTTATTAATTAATTTTGACAAGTATAGAGGTTGCAACATTTATTTGCCAATTATCTGAGAATATTGTCAAAAACTTTTGTTTTCAAATTTTTTTGTAAAATATTTCTTTAAATTATGAAAAAGATTTTTATTTTTTTATAGGGCAAATTATGCATACAAAAAATATTTTCCAAAAATATGTAAAATATTTTGAGTTTTTAATTTATTTTTGAATGCCTAGTTATTACTGACTTGTTTTCATTTTAACACAAAAACTCAATTTATTTACATATCTATATTTATTTTAGGAAATGGATTAAATCTGACATTATTTTTAATTCATTTAGATTAAATATTATTTTTTATGGATACTTGTATTCAAATAGAAGCACTGTTTTTTAATTAAACATTATCTTTTTTTTATCCAACTACATCTACTGGCCTGAATATTCAAGAAATCCTGTCAGAAAATAGCTTTCTTTATTTGTTAAAAAAAATATGGCTACCTCCTACTTATTCCTTTCATTTATTTCTCCTTGTTGTTTTTGTGTGTGTGTAAGCAGTTTTTTTTAGTTTTTTTTATTTATAGTATAGCTTTTTATTACACTGACCTCATTTTTATTACAACCTCAACGTTTGAAATCATAATGTTCCACTTGATTAAATTAAACCTGGATTATGTTGGATTCTTCTTGACTTCATTTCATAGATATGTACATCTAATATCTCCTCTACATTTAAATATCAAGCTACTCTTCTTTACTCTGCTGTGCCAACATCAAGCCACCAAGAGAGATGTCTAGAGAAAAAGAAAGAAAGAAAAATAACTAGAGAGAAAGAAAAAGATTGGATTTCAATAGATTAACACTCACTGTTGTAGTTGTTTCAGTGGTTGTACATTCTCTCTTTTTTTGAATAAGAATCACATCTTTTTTGTGTGTGAGACTTTGTGCCACCTTAGATGATATCAGATTAAAGAAAGTGGGGAAAGACTAACAGTTTTCACTGTGAATCAATTTCATATTTAACTTCCTATCCTTTGTGGTTGGAAGCAATTTTTGTCCTCTTACTATTCTTCCCAATTGTTGTTGTGTCATCCATTTTATACAAGTTCATTACATATGTTACTCACTGTTTCCCTCTTACACTCTTGCCTTCCAGTATGCCTGTGAGTGTCAAATTCTCCACATCATCTTTGTGTCCCTGAAATTTCATCTCCTTCTGATTCTCAGTAAAAGTTTCTTTTTTGTTCCCATTTTCCTTAGAACTTCCTCATTGCTCACATGTTCTGTCCAGGGTATTCTCAGAAAATAAACACCAGTGACCTATGTCAACAAGTTTTTTTTGTTGTTTTTTTAATAATTTCATCTCAAGTAAGGTGATAAAGCTACTAAAGTGCAAAGCTTTACTGAGACTAAAAGAATATGAGAAAAAGAAAACATTAAGGAGAGAGAGGACAATAAAAGAACAGAAATTAACGATTGACATTTCATTTAAAATTTTGGAGATCAAACTTTACTGGAAAGCAAGAATCCAGAAGAGAGTTCCACAAGTGAGTAGTGTGAGAAAAGCCATCCAAGCCATTTCCATTGTAAAATGATAAGACCTTGTTGCCAATCTAGTACTGCACTTAAATTCATAAAGTCTAGGTACTACAGAGAAAAACTTTGCCAGGAAATTATCTTAATTTTATGAAAATTTTGCAGGGAGGCTAGAATTCATAACATACTGTTATATACTGTACCTATGAACACTAAAAATATATTGGACACTGTTGTTAGTCGGGGTAATATGCTATGTAGTCCAACACTAACAGTGGTTTACCTACTTCATGCTACTGGTGAGTATTGTATTTTGGTGATGTTATAAAGATTACCATTTTATTTTCA